TGGATGTCTTCAGTTAATACCGTCAGGTTAGATGTCATTTCCTTGATGGGAAAATCGAGCTTCACTTTTATTAAAGCCTTATCGACATTTTTTTTTTGTCTATATTTCTGAGATAAGGTATTGTAATTTACACTATTTCAATTGCTTGGACTGTTATCCTCATCTTCAGTGCCATATTCACAACGTTTTTCACAACGTTTTGGCCGTTGTACACTCCAGCTTTCTTTAGTTGATTGGAATTTTTGAACTGAAGCTTTATTGCACCCGCTGGGGCTGATTGTTCTAATTGCATGTCTCTTCTGGATGGTTCAGTATCAGTTATCTCCCTTTTAACTCAATTCTCCAAGTTTTTGTTCACTTTTACTGTAGCCATGTATTGACCTCACAACTCTTTGGGTCAAGTCACTGGATGAACTAATACTTATCCACTGGAATGTGAACTCGAGGAAATTCCAATCATCTGAACAGGGACTGAGCATACAACGGCTAAAAGATCGTGAATATGGCAACAAAGATGAGGACAACAGTCCAAACAATGTAGTGTAAATAATCCACACAACTGTTTGCAGGAACGCGGATAAGATTGTAACAAGAGCCATGATATCCATTATCAGAGCAGATGCTGAACTTCACTTTTGAAAAAAATTTTTTTTTTTTTTACAGCAATTATCTTCAAGATTCTGAGACACTTCTATAGAATATGTGAGTAGACTATCAATTGTCATGTGCACAGTCTGAAGAGCATTGTAATAATGGAATGCAGCTAAGTGAGCACTGGGTCTTCCAGTAGTTTTATCATTTGGAGGGAAGGCTGATCGTTTGGAACTGACATGACTAGCATAGAAGTAATAAAACAGATCAGTCAGTATCTACTGATGTTCTTTCATATCTGCTATTGACTGCTACTGCTTGAGAAGTGCACAAGCCCAGGGAGTCAGAAACAGCGTACATTTACGCTGTGTGGGTTGGGCCTACGTAGCATTTGTTTGTCATTACTGCAGCCTCATCTGGTTCCATGCTCATAACTTTAGTTAATGAAAGTTTTGTTTCATTGCTCAACGTAAAGAAAATGACATTAATTAAAATTTGCCAGTAGCCAAGTTCAAAACAATGAAAATGACAGTTAAATGGAAAAAGGTTCAGACTATCATGTCAACCGAGTCACTCCAAATTTAAGTATATATTATCACTGCCATTCATAAATAAATGGCCATTTCTAGGATATAAAGTTATTATTTACACCATTTAGAATCAGACTATTGTCCTCATCTTTGTTGCTATCACAGCATTCTGACTAATGTCAATTCAGGTAACCTACAGGGAATTCAAAACTGAACTCTCAGCTGCCACCAAATTCACAAACCAATACTTTAATACACAAGACTATTCTGAATCTTTTCAGATAGATTCTGGTTATCCTCCTTGACCATTCTGTTTCCACCTGTGAATGCTGATATCATGTTTGCAGGGTAGCTGTTATTCAGAATAAAAATACAAACAATACATACATCATCATCATTCTTATCTAAAGCTTGATAGATACTTTTAGCAATAACCATTAAGATATCAGCAGTTGACCTAGAGAAGCCAAAGCCATATAGTATGTCTGAAAGACTGAGGTGAGATGCTTAACCAATCCAGAATTAATTAGAGTCTAGTAATTTGCCAAAAAGAGAGAAGGCTCATAGAAGGATCAGATGGTTTGCCAGAGTTCTTGAAGACTAGAACTACAGAAGAGAATTTCCAACAAGCAGGAAAGTAAGAAGAAGCAAGGTATTTATTATAAAGAATCAATTCAGGAGGATATTAAGAACTATTGCAGGAATGCCATCAAATTCACATACTTTGTGAGGATCCAGTTTAGAGATGACCGACATGGACAGTTAAAGGCATATCAAGTAGAGACTAAGTGGAAAGTCAGGCAATGATACTCTAGAACAGAATTGAAACAATTTATAAGTAAAACATTGTTTTAGCAACAGATGGCCACAAATTGAGTGAAGAGAGGGTGGACAGAAGCCTCGCTCTTATTTAACACTATTAGAGAGCCACTTGTAGTCACTAGAACCAAACTTGTTACAATGATGCACCATATAACCTCTGTATTTGAGGAGACACTTACAATTATTACACGCAGACACTGTGTCTGCTGGGATTGGAACTATCACATTGGTATAGTTGTATTTGTTCTGCCAGGTGTATCAATGCTGGCATTTTTCCAAGAAAAAGCCAGTAGTATAATCATCAGCAGGAAAGTTAAAAGTTGTACTCCAAGAGCAATCCTAATCAACCCACTAATAATTTTTTTTTTGGGGGGGGGAGACAAACACACACACAAAACAGTCTTACCATACAAGTTTAAACTTTGTATCTTACCTATAAAAAGTTTTGTCACAGTACAAAAACATTTTTAAAAAATGCCTGTGTACCTTTCTTTATATTCATTCTAAAAATAGACCGTGTGCCTATTTTTAGTTTTACTTTCATAAGACTGTCTAAAACTTAGTTTTAATATATTTCTACTGATATATTATGCATTTTTTTTAATTCCTTGTGGAACATAGGACCACAAGATATCATTGCATTTTCTATAACAAGCCAGCTTTTTAAAGCGAGTAGGTTGTTAGTCTATTGCACAACCCCCAGCCTGGAGGATCAGGTTTTGGATTCAGAGTTGCCCTTCTCCTAGACTAGTTGCCACCCAAGGTCTGTCCTATTTACCAATAACTGTGGGAAGAAGAAAAGGATTAATACCTTTCCCAAGGGTATTAGCATGTAAGTGACTGTAATGGATTCGGCTGGAATTTCAACTCGGATCTCTGATTCCTCAATATCCAATCCGCTATCCATCACTCTACCATGCCTCCTCATTTCTACTGATAGAGAAACAGAAATATTACCAAAATACTTTTCATAAATGTTAAAATGATATACTTTCATTTTTCCATATACTGGCAAATGTCAAGCAGCTGAACAATAATTTGTAGTAGTTGCTTGGTTCTGGCTGCTCCATCTCCAGACAAACATAATGTCTACCCAAATTTCCTCCTTCCCAAAGAAAAAAAAAAAAAAAAAACAAAACTTCTTCCTGTGTATCATTAAATTGCAGACTCATGAAATGCACAACAGAATAAATGATCAATTAAAACATTTCACCACTCCTACTGGAGCTAATATTTATATTGCTAATACTGATATGTACTAAAGGATTTCCTACATATATTACATAACAAGACCAGCTTTCATTCTCTATAATTCAAGCTGAGTTCTTAGCTTGTAGCTCAAGTTTCACTAAATGACATGAAAAAAGGGAAGGAAAAAAGAAAAAAAGAGAAAAATAAACAAAAAGACAAAGAAAATTGGCTTTGCTGCTATTTTTTTTTAAATCTATTATATTAGTAAAGTGATTTGTATACTGTCTACCTCTTGTGATGACTTATAATTATTTTTGTAAAAATGCCAAAGAATGCTTTGCTTGGTTTCTGATCCAAAAATCAAGTCCTGATGATTATACTGCTTTATTTCATATTTCAGACAAACTATTTTAACTTTTGTACTCATTATTGCAGAGACAAAACAAAAATATATAATCTCTTGATTATTTCCCCCCACCCTCTTCACTTAACCAATTATGTCCTTTTTGATAATGAAAAATAAAATTTTGGTGATATTGTTGAGTTATATGAAAAATAGTAATTGCTTGAAAAGTTTGTACAGAAAAAAAGTAAAAAATTTAATCTGAGATTACTTCATTAATTTAAAATCCATTCCAACTTTGAATAAATTTGTTGTCACCAGTTTATAGATTGAGCTCTTTTATGTAATGGTAGTAACCAATTATAAATATCATTTAATCAGGAGAGCATGTAAAATACTTATGTAAACATTCTTGGGACTGAATCTAAATATTGTTTTTTTTGTTTTTTTTAACCAGTACTTAATTTTTTTTTTTTTTTTGTTCACTCAAAATAGATTTTAAAAAATTAAATTTTTCTTCTCAGAATGTATTCCTAATAATTTTAAGACACTATACTATCAAAAGATATATAAATAGAATAGGATAAAAAAAAAACTTAAAAATCAAAATTTTAATTTGTCTTTAACCAAATATTTAACTATTCATGAGAAAAAAAAAAGTTAGATTTATAGGCTGTAAACAAAATAGTTATCACAGATCGGCAACTTGTTAGATTCTATATATAAGCAATTTTGCAGACACCAAAGTTATAATTTTGCCAATCCAAACATAAATATTTAAAAGAATTTAAAATCTCAAGTAAAAACTAAATTAAAAAGAAAAATAGATTATCAGAGAAAAATATGTTAACATAACTCAATAGAAACATTGCAATAAGACAGGGGCAACAAATTAATAACTATTTAATACTAAAGAACAGATTCAGATGGATGACCTCATTTAAACATTTTTATAAAAACCTAATAAAGATTAGAATCCAAATTTCATCACTATAATAAAATTTCTCAAACCTAAAGTTCAATTTAAATAAATATTACCATCCATGACTTGTAAAATCAACATGCTTTTCTCTATACTAAGTTATACTTAGCAGTTATTAGATTTTATTCTTAACACTTTAATCAGAATTTTTGAATCTTGCATCTAATTTAAGTTATTTAACAAAGAAAAAAATTACTTGATACTATTTATTTTTATAAACTCAAAGTCTAGTAAACTGTACAAATCCAACATGTGATTTTTTTTTGTTTGTCAGAAAGAAATAACAATATGAAAAAGTTATTTTCTCTTATTCTGTTTTGTTTAATATTTTTTCATTTGTCTTATTAAGCAACCTTAAAGTATCCAGTCAGGATACCGATTGCTCGCCAAAACAAATCAAGATGTCAAACTGTAGAATTTCAGTGCAAAAGTTCTTTCTCATTGGGTTTACCATTTCCTTTTGGATAAAATATAAAATGGCAGATAATGATAAAATAGAAAATAAGATGATGTGTAAAAAAGAGATGGACAGTAATGACGTCTATGTGAACAGGTCCTCACGATCAGCACCAACATTCTCAGCATCTTCCATTGCACTAAAGTTCAAGAAGTGAGATGGTCGATGTACTTCATGATAAAATTCTTTTGGATTTGCAAGTTGTAAATCATACTTCATGTTGGGATCATGACGAACACCTGGAGAGAAGGGGGAAAAAATAGTAACATTAAAGAAATTATTTGTATAAGAACATGACAAGTAGGGATGAGAGAACTATACATGCATAAAAACTACACATACATAAAAACTACATATTCTTTTAAAATAAAAAAACTATTAAACACAAATGTTTAAATTTGGTCAGATCAAAATAAAAACATTATTGAAAAAAATAAATAAAATGCACTGCATAAGATCATAAAGCTTCAACTTAAAAGGCCTATTTTGGAAAAATAATGAAATCAAATATCAGAAGAGTTTTTTTTTTTTTTTTAAGCATTTCACCCCAAGCAAGGCGGGGAGCCACTAGGACGCAAGGGGTTACAGAAAATAGGAAGATCAGATAGGAGTGATAGAAGAAAGGATGAGGGTAGTAGATAGATTAAGGCAACTGGAGTTGTCGATTGACATTACACTTGAATAGCTGGAGATTATAACTCTCAGGGAAAGAGGAGAAGGGAAGAGAGTTCCACAGGCGAGAGGTGAGACATGTAGCTATTAGGGTAGAAGAGACGGCTACATTTATGAGTTTCGACAGTGAAGCGGATGCCAGCCTCAGAGGGCGCTTGAACTCATGAAGTTTGGGGAACCAGCGAATGCAGTTCCTCGGAGCAATTTCCATGAAAGTATTTGTAGAACAGACAGAGGGAGGCGACGGTGCGTCTGTGAGAAAGTGACTGTAGACGAGACGCCAGGGCAGGGCCAACCATATTGCATATCCGCTTGGAGCCTATCAAGAACCCCCCGAGGCAAACAGAAGGGGCGCCAGACCATATATGGCAGCAATACTCCATGCAAGGGCTTAATTGTGGATTTGTATATCTGGAGGATCAACTCAGGGAGAAAAACTTCCTAGCATCGGCTCAGGGAGCCAACTTTCCTCGCAGTGGACGAGGCAATTGACTCGATATATTTATTCCACCTCAGGTCAACAGTCAACGTGAGACCGAGAAGCCGCAGAGAGTTGCTCTCGGGAAGTTGAGCGTCAGACATTCTAATGGAGGGAAGGGAAGGCTCTCTGTGGTGGTTAATAGAGAGCAGTTTTGTCTTCGAAGCGTTGAAGTTGACCAGCCAAATCATGCCCCAGTTCACAATCGATTGGAGGTCCTTTTCGAGGCGCACGGCAAGGTGAGTTTTGTCAGCGAGACTGGATTTGTTTTTGAGGCAGGAATAAATTGTGGTGTCATCCGCTGAGATGCCGACTTGAGAAGTTACGGCGTCAGGAAGGTCATTTATATAGATAAGGAATAGAGGGGGCCTAGGATGGAGCCTTGAGGAACACCTGCGTTCGTGGGGTAGGAACTGGAGGAGAATCCGTTGTGAACGACCTTCAATTCACGGTTTGACAGGAATGATTGTATTACGTTATATAATTGACCCGTAATGCCATAACCCTGGATCTTGCGGAGAAGGCCGCATGCCAAACCCTATCAAATGCTTTGGAGATATCTAGTGCCACGTGCTCGGGCTTCCCCGTTATTTTGGAGAGTTCGGTAGACTGTTTCCGTGATGGCTGTGAGCACATCGGCTGTAGATCTGGCAAAGGGAAACCATATTGCTTGTCTGAGAGCAGATTATGGGATGAGGTGGTTAACCACCCCGGTATTGATTAGAGTCAAGAGGGGAAGGAGACTGATAGGACGGTAGTTGGAAGGGTCAGAGGGCTCGCGGAGTTCTTGAAGACAGGAACGATCGAAGAGGACTTCCAGCAGTCAGGAAAACAAGATTCCTTGAGGCAGTAGTTGTATAGTTTCGAAAGGGCGGGCGCCAGTTCAGGCGCGCATTTCTTTAAGACAATGGCTGGTATCCCATCTCCACCACTCGCCTTGTTGGGATCTAAATTGGAGATAACCCCAACTTTGGTACTGGGCGTTATGTTTAACCCACTCAATATGGCCTCAGTTCTAAGAGGGAAGTCTGGTATGGGTACACCAGAAGAGTCGAGCGTCGAGTTGGATGAAAATTTCTGAGCAACGCATTCAGCCTTGTCGGTAGAGGAGGTCAAGACTTCGAACTGGTTGAATGAACCTAGTAAGGAATCCCGATCCGAAATGTTAACAAAGTAAAAAACTAGAAAAATGGAAAATTAAATGTCTTTGACTAGATGCGAGGGTGTCTCGTCAGTATCCTAACGATGTTGTGACTGTATCTTTTTGCTTGATATATTGTCTGAAAGTGGAATTGTTTTTCGCCATTCTATCTCCTCTTTTGAAATCTTATTGAAAGCATATCTCCCTAGCCCAGTACTTGGTGGGGGCCGAGGATGTTTGCTAGGTTTATGTGCTAGAGATTTCTCATTGAGCAGTACCCCAAAGATTGTTTATGTGGTGGGATTAGAAACAATCGGCTAAAATGAATTCCCATGAAAGAATCAATTAAAAGTCAGCAACAAAATGCTTTCAAAAATAGTTTAGAGAATGGGTCTACTATTACACCAGGACAATGCTGGACTACATGTTTGGTAACATGGCAAAAGCTGTTACAGACCGACTGGAAAATTTACCCTCATTTCATATATTGTACCAATCAAATGACCATTTATTCAAGGCTTTTAGATAATTTTGTAATGAATAAAAAAAAAAAAAAAAAATTTTTAAATCTGATGTTTGGTTATACTTTGGAAAGTGGTTTGGATTAAGAACATTTCAGTGCCTTCTTGTATTATGCAAAAACTAATGTTTTTTTTTCCCCTTTAAACAAAGAAATATTGACATCTTTTGTTCACAAATGCAGAAAAAGAAAAATTTCTTTATATGAAGAAAAAGACAGGCACACAAATAGCATCTTACAGGGCCCTTTCAAATGTGATGGAAATAAGAAAATCTTAATGTATTATTAAAATATTTCAATATAATCAATTTTGTATATATGGTCCTCAAAATATTCCTTGTTTATAAAATACTACTTGCTGAAATCAATTTGCAAGTGATGTTTATTTCGTTTCATTTTTCTTTGTCCTTTTACAATATTATTAAATAAAAATAACCTGGACGACAATGACCTGTCTTAAAAATGTAATGGTCAGGAGAGAAGTAATGTTATCAATAAATTCAACAGAAGAAAGCATGCAAATACTGAAGATACATTAAAATATAAAATGAGAGAAAGCACACACAATGAGGATGTAACAAAAATAAATAAATAAATAAAATACTTACCCATGAAGTTGTAATTCCAAGATCCCTGTGATGGTACCATGAAGAATCCAAGGAAACGATCTGACAGCAACATTTGTACTTTCTCATAGTGGGAAGGCAAATAGCCTTTTGGATTGTTTCCAGTATCTGTATTCTGCCTGCCCCAATCATATCCACTAGGGGTCAGCTTGTAGGCAGTAAGTGAACAAGATCCAGGAGTGAAACTGAAAGTAAATTTACATCACTTTCAGAGTTACACACTTATAAATAATAAAGTAAATTACAGAATTTTTTTAATTATGTAGCACAAGATACAAAAAAAATTATGGAACTTATGCACTAACAATATACAATTATAAAAAAAAAAAAAAAAAAAAAAAATACAAACCCAATCATAAAACTTAGAGGAAATCTTAACAGAGTTGTGTGTGTGTGTGTGTGTGTGTGTGTGTGTGTGTGTGTGTAAGAAATTAATGGATTTTTTTTCACCCAACATTATTTCTTACTATAAACATATTTAGTGGGTATATGTGTGAATAGACATCATTGTTTAAAAATAAATAAATAAATAAATAAAAACAAAAGTGAGATTAACATTAAATAAAATTAAATTTTCATTTACATTTTCTGGCCAAGAGAACAACTTTGAACAAACAATATTTTTAGTCTGAATATAAAAGGTTACAGAGTTAAAAGCTAGAGGGAGGGGGTAGAGAGACAAACTCAAATCTATCACTGATATTTTATATCCAATAAAAATTAACATTTTTATCCAATTAAAAATACAAATTAACAAATTTGTCTGTCAATCTAAGTTCTTCAAGCTGTTAATTGAAATGGAAGGCAAATATTTATGATAAATTACCAGTTTTCTCAGATCTATTCAACTTTTGTATTTGCTTTATGTGTCATGTTCCTTCAGGATGTTGGTAATCATGGCTCTTCACAATTTCCTGTTCTTTGTAGCTCTTAATAAATTTTGCTTTTTCTATCCCTCCTATAATTTGTTCCATTTACTCAAGCTTGCTAGGTAGGTTATGCATCATTTTCTTGTACCTCTTGCCTTCAATTTGTGCTGTGAGTATGAAATTTTCCAAGCCCACTTTCCACATTATGTGCACTACAAATTCTAACTTGTCTCTTCCCAATGTTAAGTGACCTTTTTGTTTCCATTTTCTTTGTCTTGTTCACAGGTTTGGTACATGGTATTCTCAACATCCTTCTGTAGAACCACATTTCTGTTGCTTAAAGTCTTCATCTAAAGAGACTATCAAGCATTCACTGTGATATAAGAGGACTGATATTACATAACAGTTCATTACTCTTTTTTTCTAGTTAATATTTTGTGACACTATTTAGCTATGGTAATTGATTAACTAATTAACCATAAAAATTAAACAAGAAAATACTGAGAATGGAAAAGATACAAGATTTTTATTTTTACATTAAAAATAAAATAGAGTTACTTTTCTCAAAAACCTGAGAATTGACATAAACAGTGGACTCACAAAAAGGCCATATGCAAGCTTTTGACAATTGATTAATGATGTTTGTAAAAGTACTGGCCAAGAAAACATGGGAATCAGAAAAAGCGTTTAAGATATCAGGCGATGAGACATATGTTGATTATAAAAATTTTGACATGAGAAAATATTCCAAAATTATTTGCCGATACAGGGTAGAGAGAATTACCATTATTTATTTTATCAAGATAAAATTTTAAGTACCAGCAAGTGGCCATGTCTCGATTATAGAAAATATTTCAAAAGAATTGCTGATTTGAAGATAGAGATTTTTTTTTTTCCCTTGAGAAGCCAAGTTTCCCACAGACCTTGAAAATTGATTGATGTTGTTTGTAAAAGCACAGGTTGAGAAGACACAAAATAGCCAAAGAGCATCTGAGATATCATTCAAAATCACAAAGTCCTAGATGTCAGCCAAGCCATGACAGTCCATATGTTATTTGTAAAGTCAAAAAAAGGGTATTTTAAAAATAAGTTGATAAATTCTAAACTCAGAAATAAACACAGATTTTAAGAGACAGAACCATGTGGTTTTCATAAGAATTTTGGCTGGTGAGAATGAGAATTTGGTAAACAAAAAATTCTAGTTTATAATTTTAATGAGGCCAGCTTAGCTACATCCGCATGGCCAGGACACCATTCATTGAGTGGTAGTAATAGAGATAGGTGGAGGTAATTTGATGAGAAAGACTGGGAAATTATTAATGTCCACTGAAAGGATTTGGGATGAGGTGCCAATGTGAGAAGGAGGGAATTTAGGAGGATAGCTATCCTGCAACCTCTCCTCACAGACAAAGGGATCCCCCCACAAAAAATGTAAAGTGATTAATTTTCCAAAATGGGAAGTAATCAATTTTCCTGGCCGGACAACAAAGATTTCTTGTCAGAAATCAGGATTTACCGAAACCCCAGACTGTGTCCATGTAAGCGAGCGCCCTCAGGTAGTTCGCCAGTGGAGTTGAGATGCAGTTCGAGTTGCAGTTAGAGTAGCAGGAACCAGAATGTTACCTCACAAAAGCTGACCAAAAGATTTTACGACTTCCTATCTTCGACTTTGCCTTCCTATGAAACAGCAAGTTATACTGATGAACAAAACTAAGACAGCACTCAAAAACTTAACCAGTTAAGAGGAACAGAACTTGCCTAAGAAGCATAAGTGTCACTCCAAAGAAAACAGGTTGCGAGAAAAAAAAAAACACACATTCTTGTATATAACAGACAGATAAAAGTTAATTTATTTCAACATTCTTGAACCTCTTGGGTTTTTATCTGCTTCTTTTCTTTAGGCTTGTGCAATATCAACTCCAGTTTAGACTCATCTTACACTATGGCCCGTTGTCTGATTGATCTTGTCTACCTAAGATCAAAATCACAACGTGGGTAGGTTAGACTCGAGATCGAAGTAGTTGCTTCGGACAGAGCTGGTGTCCAACTGGCTGCATCTGGTGTGAAGTCGTTTGAAATCGACCGACCATCCCACTTGGTACCTTGTCCAATGGAACCCACCGAGCAACGACAACCACCGATCAACCGGGACACAGGTTGGTGGCAGCGACTACGAGTCAACCCCAAAACACTGGTAGGAGAAATATTGCAGTTCCGTACTGTGACATGGAGTTGACCACGGGCCGACAACTCATTGTCACATGCGACCCTGAAATGACCAGTGCCTCACTTTGCTTAGCTTTTGGAAGGCATTTTTCACTATCCCAATGACCCTCAGATTTCAGTGTCACCTTTTCTGTCCTTTATTAAAACACTTCCTAGATATTTAGATTGTTGTACCTGTTTGATTTTGGTATCTCCAATTTGTAATTTGCATGGTAGTCTCTTCCATTTTGCTAACAACCATGCATTATGTCTTCTTGCAATTGATGTTTTAATCCTTTTCTTCACTACCTTCTGCAGAAGTTCTTGTTTCCTTTCTGTTGCCGCATCATCTATATATCTTTTGTTAAGACTGTGACTGCTAATAATGAATTCTGGTAGGACTTCTAATTCTCTCAGAATCACCTCAATGTATAGGCTGAATAGATCTGGTGAGAAGATACATCCTTGTTTTACACCCCCCCTTTCTTTTTTCATATATTTAATGAATTCATTTTTTATCTGTATGCAAGTAGTTTGAAAGTTAATTTTACATACTACCTATGTAGTTTATCAAAAATAAATTTATTTTGTTACCTCAGCCTGAAATTCTGCATCTATTTCTCAGTGAATCAATCTTACAATTTTTGAAATTTATCATTCCAAACACATACAAATGACCATCACCTTGCAAGACTTCTAGTTATGCTCACAAAAGAACTTTGATTTGAGTAATCCTGTGATTATTCAACTATTTATAAACATGAAACACTCAAGTAAATATTGAATATGAAAGTAACAGCAAATTTTGTCTGTGTGTACATTCATAATAAAGTTAAAAAAATTGAAAAATTGTAGAAAGCAATGTCAGTACCAACCTGCAAGTGATGATAACGGTTTTCTCTCCATCCCAAGATGAATTATCAGACATGACCTTAGCATGAGTGGTAATGTCTTGGGGAGATAATTGAGGCAGCTCATTGGGTTGTGTGTGCACCCAGCCAAGAGGTTCCATCTCCTTTAAAAGTAGGGGGGAAAAAAAAAAAGTAAATTGTAGACCAAAATGTTCAATATATTAAAAAATAATTTAAATATCAGTAAAAATGATACATTTTTATAAGTTATCTAATTACTTAGGAAGCTTTCCTATCTTTTCTAGCCAAAATTCTTTAAAGATTCAAAATCTTTTCCATGACTAAAAATTTTTTCTACATAAAAACAAAAAGATAATGTCTAAAATCTTGAGTTAATACTTAAAGAATTCTTCATACCATTGAAATTATTCCTTGTATAGCTTTCCTGGTTACATTCTAGCTCGCCCATTCTACAACCTTCTTCCAGTGTACAACCCATAAAGGAAGAGTCGCTCCACCCTTGAGATTAATCAACAAAGTTTCAATTTTAACAACCCATACGTGTCGGGGCGGGAGGGAATGAAGGGGAGAAAGAAGCCTGATCATATTACGAGAGAGAATTTTCATTGCCCCTTTCTGAGGTTTAAATAACAGTGGTAATTTGTAAGTTACATGAGCATGCACCAAGTTTTCAGAGATAAAGCAGATACTGTGATGGACACTTGCTTAATTTTTTAAATTTAAAAAAATATTTATGGTACATTTTGATTAGTGGTAAAACAGCAGCATTTGTTTTTTGTCCAAATCCAATAAAAGGGTTTTCTTCCAAATTCCAAGCCTACATGCTGGTTATATAAGGGAGGCCTTGGATCTGCCTTTTGGAGTCAACAAAAATAGCTGCTACAGGAATCCAGGCCACACTGGTCCAGAAGGAAAACAATGCAAAAGAAAAAATGTTCTGTACATTGTTGGAAAGTGTGAAAATTGAAAGATATAATATATTTTAACCTGATGGACAAAAGTAAAAGTCAAAACAATGTGGATTTATTTACTCAGTAAAGAAAGAATTTGCAACCATACCTTCATATAAAAATATGGAACTACTCAAGCCAGACAGTTTGCATAAAATACATTCACCTGTGTAGCCCTTGTTGATGAAAATAAGATACTATTTTTAGTACTCCAAGCAACTCTTGTAACCTATAATACAATAATCTATAATACTACTTGTGTTCACAAAATCTGATTAGAAAACTTTCACTTAGCTAATATATAATTGTGATGTCAGTAATAGTTAAACTTTAGGCTTCTTGGTATCTAGTCTTTTATTTTAACACTAATCTATCAATAACACAAATCAGTATTTCTTGAATAGCTATATTTTACAATTATTACTTTAACTGAAATTATCATCATATTAGTGTTTCTCAATGTTTTTTGTTTTTTTTGCTTCAGGACACCCCTCTAGAATAAACGGAGGAACACTTTAAATTTTAACACGGTAAAATTAGTCACAAAATTTGAAAATAGGAAAATAAATACCTATTTCAGGAGACTATTATTAAGACATTGCATTGTATGCTTGCATAAAATCAGTGCTTTTTTTTTTTTTTTTTTTTAATATAAAAATTCATAAATTACTTTTAACTTGAGATACACCTGGCTACCTTTCTGGCTGCACCAGTTGAGAAACACTGTATTACACCAATAAGAACAAACACCTACCTTTTTGCCTAATGAATACACAATAACATAAGTTTTACATACCAACATTTTTTTTTCTACTCACATGTGTAAACCAATGGAGATTCACTAGATTAAATGGCAGCACTGAAATGTGGGTATTAGTTATAGCAATGGGTGGAGAATAAAATGAAAATATAGAAATGAATTGTTTTCTTACATTCAAACATTATAGAATTTACCTAAGTTGGCATTTAAGTGTAAACCTCTTAAAAGCATATATTTAATCTACATTAAATATACTTTATATTATCTCATGACATATTTTCATTGTTTCTTTGTCTGATGGTGAGCTTATACTTCTTAAAATGTAAACAGTTCTCGAGATATATAAGAGTTAAATAAAATCCAGAATGAATTAGAAATAGCCAACTTACTTGCAAATATTCATGATCAGGAAGTGTATTGGGTAAATGGACTCGTTGGTGAGTACCCCACTGTGGAGGCATCACAATACACCGAATTTCTTTCACCTGTGGATTGTCAGGTGGACTGACTCCATACAAATAACCAGCAATCTAAAAAAAAAAAAAAAAAAATTTACTTATCAAGACATGATTTAATAAGGTATTTAACAGCACATATTCAATATTTACTCTGCTCTGAAATGAAATTCTCAGCTCAAGCAATGCAAATCAACAAAGAGTCTTACCTGAGCCCTCAAATCTGAGATAATGATAAACTTTTTAAGAATATTTTTGGGTAAGATATATGTGTAGCCAGTCTCTTTGATGTCATCTGAAGACACATAGATATGGTTGGTACGTAGGTGAAGATTTGTAGCAGAGATGGCACGGACACGCCACTCAGTTTTGGAAGCAAATGTTGCAGTCTCATAATTGCTGGTAGTTGAAGTAATAATCTCATCGCCATGTTTATTCACTGTACGGGTTGTGGTGGCTGTCAACTGAGATTGTTCTTTAGTCTGTTTTTCAATTTCAGCAATCTGTTGTCGTTGGGCAGATGGGGCAGAAATTTCCATACCCAATATAATATCACGGATTTCTGACTGAGTGAGAGAGGCAACATTCACACTAGGAAAAGAAATTAAAAAAAATTTTGTTAAATCAAAGAGCAACACAAGAACATATTGCTAAAAATAACTTTAAATTAAAAAAAAGAAAAAAGTCCCCAAAAAAAAAAAAAAAAAAAAAAAAAAATTGTATTAGAGGAAATGCTTTTAAGTTTTTTTAAGAGCTCCATTATATTTAAGACTTCAAATATTTTACAATTGCTAACAAAACTTATTTTCAGGAATACCTTGATAGTGTATGTTATTCCATTTATGTTCTGAGTAACTGATAAATTAAACTCACTTGTTTTTTTTGCCATAATCGGCCAAAATAAGATCCTTGAGTTGCACCTCAACTTTTATCCATTCTTCATCACCAAGAGCAGGCCAGATGTGATGTGGTTCAGTCACAGTTGTTTTGTCAGGTTTCAAAATAATTTTTGTGCGGTCATTGTTCACATGTAGAGCACGCAAAATCAAGATTAATCTAGAGAAAGCCTGCAAATGAAGGGAAAAAAAAAATATCATTAAGAATGACTATAATCTTGTAAACAAAAACATTTCTATAATGACAACATGCATTTGCAGTACTATTAAAATAAAAGAAGATTCTAGATAACCAGATCAAGTACCTTTAATTGAGACATTGAACTTTTATCCATTCAAGGTGTCTATAGATGTGTAGTATTATCAATAAAATATTGAATCTATCAGAATACTGCTGTTATTAAATGATTCTCCTTAATAAAAGAGAATGCAGTCTTAAAGAAAAATAATTTCGTGGAGGGAAGAAAAAAGAAAAAAAAATTTTCTACGCTTTGCTTAAAATTATAATATTTTTCCCCTTCCTAGTGACACTTTCCATAGTACAGATTTAATACAAAACATCATTTTAAGTCATGGATAAAAGATTTCATTAACACAAATTGCAATAATTGACAGTGTAGTAGTTAGAACATGCATTAGATAAATGTCAATTACTTTTGTCTTAAATGTGTGTTTATTTATATATACTATGGATATCAAACAAGACTTTTTGTTTGCTTTATTATCATAAAGATATCATTCAATAAGTTTCACCATTTGTCTAAAATTCTTTTGCTAAATTTTGTAAACAGTGAACAGTTTAACCCCCTTAAAATAATAAACAGACATTAACATTAAACAGACACCGATATATATTGAACTCTAAAATGTTAAAAAGATTTTTGTGAAAATTAGTCTGACTGAACATTTGACATTCACTGGAATTAAAATGCTATTTTTAAATTATTCAATAGGAATGGAGGTGAGTAGTAGTTTACACAACCTTAAAAAAAAAAAAAAAAAATTTTTAAATTTAAAAAATTAAAAGTGTTAAAATTTTTATTTGAACAATTATTTTCAAATCTTTATTAAAATATTTTCTTGCTGCAGAGGAATGTTACCAAACAAATAAATATCTTCTTATTTTGCAGTTTTCAAAGTTCAAATTTAAAACAACTATCAGTAATCCCTTATTTTTACCCACTGCAACTAAGGTAAGAGTATTTTCCCCACCCATAAAATATTGGAAAACTTTTCAGTTATATGAAATACTAGTGATTTCTTAAAATTAAAAAAAGTTATTAAAAAAAATTCCAACATTTACTGCAGGAAAATCTTATAAAATAATTTTCAAAACTAATAAAATAATGGCTTATCAACCCCGCATTGATCAAGACGTATGATATATGCATAATAGCACAATGGTCTCTGTGGGTAACAGGTTAAGGAATTCCAAGAGGTTTACTGGCTGGTCTAAATGGTGAGAGAAATCATAAATAAAAAATAAAAAAAATTTCCATTTTGCACTATGACAAAGGTAAGCCACCATAAACAAAACACTTTCCATTGGATTTCTTTGTCATCTAGAGAGGACTTTTGTTATGTTAGCACAGAAGATGAATTAACACTGATCATTGATCTTTGGAGATGGCAGTGATTGATGGATTTTCCTGACTATATAAGATATTGCAGAGTGAGCTTCAAGTGTCAATGAGATTTCCTACTTTTGGGTTCAGTGGAAAAAAAAAAAAAAAAAAAAAAAAGGAGCACAAGGAGAAACTGGATTTTGTTTCATTTCAATCACTTTAGGTTCAAAATTTAGTTGTGAAAACATTGAACTAACTAGCATCAAGGTTGTTCTTGTGAATATAACAATTATTTCCCAATATTCCAAGTATCATTTCCCTATGGAATTGTGTCATATACCAATTTGTGTGCATCTACTTCATAACAATAACATTGTATTGGCATATATAAGGTAAGACATTTTAGTAATGCAGCAGGTGCCTATTTTATCTTAAATTATATCAATATTACAAAGTAATATGAACAGTTTAAAAATTATAGTGGAAATCCTTAAGACTAAAAAATTTTCAAGATACAAGGGAAGTAAACAAAAATGTTATAGATGAACACTGTTACAAAATCTCTAAACATTTATCCATGTGTATTGTCTATTAATCTTGTAGCCAGACAATATTTAAGGCAAAAACTCACTATAAATTTATTATTTACTGCAACAGCAGTGTCAAGTAAATTCTGAGGATGAAAATTAAAACTTACAGTATATGATGAAATAGTTTTCAGCCAGTCATCATAAAGATTAAATAGAACCATCTGAGGTTCAGTAGCTTTCAAGATAAGATCACCAAATTTCTCCACCTTAAACAAAAAGCAATTTATTAATTTTGAGTGAAGGAAAAAAAAAAATTTATTCTTAACTAGTGAAATAAAATTACAATAACTAAGATGGAATTACCATTTTTTTGAAAATTGTATTTTTTTAAAAGCAGAGATGGTTATGTGGTTTGAAATATCAAAATGTACAACTATTATACATGAAAAACAAAAACGAACAGTAAATTCAATAAATTAAAATCAAAAACTTTTCTCAATTTTAATTCTATTCCTATAACATTTAAATGGAAAAAAAAAAATGTACCTTCAGACAGGCTTGGAATGGTAATTGCAGTTCACTTCCTTTGATTACAATGTTGGGAAAATCAAGTAAATGGACCTGAAATTTAAAAAAAAAAAAAAAAAATTTCAAAACATTTGGAGAAAAAAATGCTTAAGAATAATAATTCCAACAAAGATTGTGATGTTGATTATAAATTATACCTGTATTGTTTTCTTGGTTTTTAATAAGCACAAAAATAGCTTCTGAATGTAACCATTATTTACAGAACACAGGTTAAATAAACAGATTAGATTACAAATTAGTCAATTTAAGAAATATATACAAAATGAGCAGAGATTAATTTAAATGCAATCTGATACCCATAAGGATCATTTAAACTGGCAACTGCACTTTTAATCACATTTTGATTAGTTTTATATTTTCAGATTTCATTAAAAAAAAAAAAAAAAAAAGTATAGAGTCTAATTTCATGAGCATTTTGATTAAAATAACTTCTATATCTAAAAAAGAGACATGGCAAGATTATAACTTCAAACTATGAAAATGGTTAAAATAACATTTTTAGGATCTTGCCTTACCTCAAGTGGATCCAACATTCCTTTCCGAGTGACAATAATCTGTTTGGGTTGTTCCTCAACAGGAAGTGATCGAATCAATGCAGCAACTTCCTCAGCTGTTTTCCATTTGGCCAACTGTTAAGCGCAATGTACATCAAAACATTTTGATTTAACCAAATTATACACAACTATATATAAGTATATTCAAAGTTTTAATGCACCATTTAATGTTTAGGCTTAATATCATTAAACAACAAGTTTTCAAATATTTTATCTAATTTCATTTGAAGCAACAAAAGGTATTAAAAAGATGAATATACTAGATTTAAGACTCAAATATTTAAAAAAAAAAAAAAAAAAAAAACTATTACTTGTGTTTTATTGAGGATTGAATGACGACAGAAGAGATTTTTTATGGTAGAGGTGTAAATTGTAACAAATGAATGGGTCGTGAATGGGATTAGCTAGGTAGAAGATAGTGACAACTGGCCTCAACCAATTCTTTTTGGCCTTGTGCCACAATTGCTGTATTTTAGAGCGATAAATCTTGTGTCTTATGGGACAAAAAATAAAATAAATAAATAAATAAAATAACAGAAAATTGGTACAAAAGAATCAATGTATAAGGCTTAGGCCTAGTCTCAAAAATTCATACAAAAAATGTGAAAATTTAGATTTTTTAATCGAGCTACTAGCAATGAAAAATTGCAACTGTTAGAACCAAGTTCTCATATAAAAATCTAGCACTAGAAATAAATACTTCCTTTTAAAATGTTAAAGCATTTTCTATTGACACAGTGGTCCTAATAAAGTGTATACTCACCTGACCTAAACGTTTCTGTCCAGCCCAAACTGAAGTGTGGATAATCTTTAAAAATAATTGACCAGTACGGGGATTGAATATGAAGATGGCTCCATTAATTGGCTTAGTTGTTAAGTTGCCTTCAAAAGTCTACAAAAAATAAATAAATACAAAGAGATTAACTGTGATAAAGTTCATAACCATGATTTTAGTTTTTCCTTTCAATTAGCATCACCAACTTTTAAGTAATAAATGCAAAACTTTGAAAGTTACCTTGTGAATGGTGACTCTGTATACATTGGTGTCATCTACAAACCAAATGATTTGGTTAGAGAAGAGCTCACCATAGTTCTGAGAACTTAGGTAGGGCTCAGTCGGTTCAGAGGAATAAAGTTGCAGGCCTTTTCTGATACGTTCTCTCAACACATACAAGGCAGGGTTAGCTTTCATGATCTTTGCCATAGCTTGTTGGATCAATGGTTTACAACCTGGAAACCAATTTCCATAAGCGCTGAAAAAAAAATTTTAATATATAATCACACCTAACAAAAATATACAACTACTGTTAATTATATAGTCATTAATTTTAAAATAGAAAAACAAAAAAAATCTGACATTGTCATTTTTGTAAAATTTTAAGAAATTAAAATATTTTCATAAAAATGAGTTAATAGAGAATTTCAAAGACCCTGAAATTAGTCTTTGAATTCAATTTATACTTCATTAAGTAAAATAAACAGTTACTATATATTGAAATAATGCTTCAGAAAATTTTATAATTTCACAAGCCTCTTATTTTTGGATATTTTCTTGAGGGAAGCTATCATTACTAATTCAGAATAAGCTTTCAAGTTTGATAATTATTTTAACTGCAATTTCAAGAGGTTTAAATTATTAAAAAACAAACTATTTCGCACCTATGCAAATTATAAGCTAAATCAATGGCAATGAGTACACCTGTAGGCGATGGGTAGATACTCATATTATCTGTGGTGTAGTCCAAGAATTTGGCACGAGCATATCTCTCAATATCATGAGAGTCATAGTCACCCCATCTAAGCTGTACATCAATCCAGTATTTCTGAGTGTTTGCATTGTCCATCACATCTCTGTAAATAAAAAAGAAAATTAATGGGAACATTAGAAATTTTATTACATCACAAACACAAATTAAACAAAGTAAAAAAAAAAAAAAAAAAAAAAAAAATTGATTTTCCAGGACTTTCAAATTGTAACTAGGATTCTTCAAATGAGAAATTTAAATAAAAATCAATTCAATGCATCATATATTTGTTAATGCACACAGAATTTCACATACATGTCATCCATCTAAATTAATGACCCCTGAAGCAACATTTGGAGTGATGCAACACTAAGGCAGGCAAGAACACTACATCTTCAGTTTGCTTGATGTAAAAAATAAGCCTGCACATCTTATAAATGTAAATACTTTTGACAGAACATTTTCCGCTACACATAAATGTTCAAATAATCACATGGCTATAGTTGAATAAAAGCATTTGTTTTTTTTAATAACCAAAACAATCCCAAAAAGTCACCAATTCATTACTTTGAACAAGGTAAAACAGCATCTAAAATACTACAGCACAATTATAATAAAAAATTCAAACAATCATCATGCACTGAAAATAGCAGAAATTTGACATCCAAAGACAGGCTGTTAGCAAATTATTATCAAAGAAGCAATGTGGAATGAGAGGTTTCTGTTGGTACTTAAACAAAAAAATTGCTGCTGAAATATACCTTGTTCAAGTGAATGCCCAATGATAAAAAAAACTCACCTAATTAATATGTGAGATTGAGATCTTTACTGTAATATTTTCAAAAATAAAGATATCAATCAACTCCAAAAGAAAGGATCATCTCACATTTTCTGTAATATTTAAATAAGATCCTGTTTCCTTGTGAAAAGAAAGCTCTCTAGCTATATCATCTTTATGATCTTGTAATGTCTTACATTTTAAACATTAGAATTTGTATGCACACTGACATGCCAAAAACTATTGCTTAATGTAAATTAATGAATGCTTAATATTTGAAAAAATAAAAAAAATTAACTAAAAATTTGAAATCACTAGATGACAATTTAGTAATTAATTACTATACAGCTATCTGAATAAAGAGAAATGCATTTGCATATTATGCTTCCAAGAGGAATTATATGTATCAACAATATTTATTAGACTGTTCAAAAAGTAATATCAGTTAAATTTGCCAAAAACAATCTTTAGCAGCAATGACAAAAGCTCAATAATAACAAAAATGATAAATAAAATAAAAAAAATAAAAAGATTCTGGATGAAAAATCTTAATTTAGCATCTAAACCAAAGCTCCAGCTAAGTTTTTGATAAGCAGTTGGAGTGAAATAGTAGGTTTTATCTATTGTAATCTGTTAGAATAAGGTAAGATAATAAATGAAGAGGAAAACTATATTGCAGAAACTCCAACTTTGGTCAACAAAAAGTGTGTCATATTTCAGAAAGGCAATAAAAATTTACACAATAAACTAAACTCATAAAATGATGAAATGATTATATTGCAATACATCCTGTTAATTAGCTTAGCAGCTATTGCTTTCCATTTAAATCAATAGAATATTTTCTTTAAAGGGAAAATATTTTTAAAAGTATAGAAGTCTGCAGAATCCTACATTCTTTAATCCAAGGATAAAAATTAGTTCATAGCAAGTTTTTATCAGTGATAATAATGACAAATATATTGTCAAATAAGTTTAGCATTTAAGTGAATGTTCTTTTTTTTACCCATTTCCAAAAATGCATAACTTTCAACAAATTAATAGAATTTTTCTTCTGTACATTTTAGCAAATATCACTTTTAAAACATTCAATACAATGAACTTTACTAAATCAAGAAAATAATACATAAAAGAAAATTTTACTTTGAATCAGCCAACAGTGAAGGCCTAGAGACATTCCACTTGTAGGAGGCAAACAACAGGATGTCAGCACATGAACTGTTCATTTTGTAAGATTTTCGAGGATGGATAGTCTCTTTCTGGACGGTCTCAATTTCAAGAGCATCCAACTCTTGGTCAAACACCTACGAAAAATACAATAATAATTAGTAGAAATATTTAATCAAACAAGTTTATCTATTTTGCATTGTCTTTGATAAGTTATCAATTTAGCAAAAACCTAAGTTACAACTTACCAAACATATTCATCATTTTTTTCTTTTATTTAAAAATGAATCAAATATTATCAAGTAAAACAACAATTATTTTAGAAAGTAAAAGAGAAAGAGAGAAATGAACCATAAATAAATGAAAGATGAATACTAACCTGACACAAATCCATGACAACACTTTCATGTATCTTTTGCCACAAATGGGCACGGAATATTTGGATAAGAGAGATTTTCAGAGTAGGAATTTTGCCATGCATAAAGATTCCAGTCAAATCCAGTTGCACTTGGAAACCTACATAAACCTGTCAAACAAACAAATCATGAATAAGAAATCAAAAATAAACTAAGAGTATTGGATTGCACAGAACTTCATTGTTTTTTTTTTAATTTTGTCAAAATAACATTCTTATACTGAAGATCAAAATAAAATAGCATTTTCAAAACGACATACATTTTTAAGAAATATAAAAATGCAGCTCAAACACACCCACAAAAAAAAAAAAAAAAAAAAAAAAAAAAAAAGATTTGTGCAATTTATAGAGAAGATAGTGTAAACAAGTGAATGAATGGATAGCAGAACAGGGACAAAGATGGATGGTAAATAGTCATAAGTTATATAGAGCAACAAAAAACAGGAAGTTGTTGACAGCCAGAATTGCTCGCACCCTGAAGGGATATGGCACATAAGACTGAACATCAAGAGGTTTGAAAGCTTTCATGCTGGAGATTTTTCACTGAATTATGCTTCATTGTTAACAAACAAATGTTAAAAAAAAAAAAAAAAAAAAAACAACTCTAAGAATAAACAATATTATACAACATGGAAGGTAACCTATATACATAAAATATCCAAATCAAGTTTTGTAAATTATTTGCATAAGCTTAGTTATGGTAGTCGCAATGTTTTGAGTCTTCTGCATAAGTGGAAAAAAACTAACAGATTGTATTTCCATATGCAATCCACAACTTTGAAAATTTGGAAAAATTGTAATGGGCAATGAAATTCAAATACTGCCACCAAAAGGTTAGTCTTCATCCAGAATGGTAAAATCAACAAAAAGCATCGGAAATTAGTAAAGAGAAATTTCGATATGCATTAATTTCCATTAAAGTAACACTAGACACTTTGGTGTCCAGGCAAAAACTGTTACAGCCAAGATAGAAACATTTCATTTATCTACCATATTCACTAGTTGACCATTCATTTTGGGCTTTACAGAAATCTTTTATAAAGAATTTCAATTCCCTTGAAAATTGCAAAAAGCACCTACAGCAATTTGTTGCTCAGAAAGATTAAAAGTTTTGGGAAGATGGAATTATGAAGTCATCACAAAGATGACAAAAGATAATTCAATAGAGTTAATATTGAAAATATTTTTTTTTTTTTTTTTTTACCTGTAACCAAACTTTTTGGGTAATACAATAGAAAGTTTTATCAAAATTAAAAATTGATCATAACCATAATTTATCTCAAAATATTTGTGGGACTGAGTTTGCTTGTCAATGGATATATTCTAAATGAAATACTAAAGTTTTAAGAATAAAAAGTTTAAAAGATTTAAAGAAGGTTTAATTTTCATTCATTACCTATACAGAAGAAAATATCTCTTCTTTTTCAATTAAAGTTAAATTAAATTTTAATTAGTGAAAAGAATATTTTTTAAAACAATCAAAACTGCATGACTTACATTAGCTCTGTTGATTGTGGGAGACCACCACAATGTAAAACGACGGTTAGGAATTTGATTCAAACCAGATCTCTGGGCATTAGTTAATTTTTTGTATTTCATAGATTCTTCAAAACCACTGGCTTTCTCCCTAAAGTGAAGATATAAAAACATGAGCATCATTGAATTGGATATGAAAACAAAACACACACAAAGAAAAACAGAATAAGATGTAAAAATTTGCATACCAGAAAAGACCCTCCCAGGTAGGGAAGTAGGTTCCCTTGAAGAGTGTATGCTCTAAAATTCCTTCAACACCACCAAGAGCTTGGATCATGTCTGTTCTGTAGTTGTTTAAGTTCCACAATTTACCATCATGGCGCTGATGAGTCCACCAGAAAGGATTTTGTTTTAGGACCTGAAATTTAAAAGGAAAAGTGTAAATAGCAACAGATTTTTTTTTTTTTTTTTGCAAATTAAACTGAATAATTCATTTATACTTATAAATAAAATTAGAGTTCAACTAAATTATTAACATCTATTTTAATGTTAAATTCATTTTTTCAACTTTAGCTCAGTGCTTGTTAAATATTCTGATTAATACCACCATTTAAAAAAAAAACAAAAAAAGAAAAAAAAAAAACTTACCTGATACTGTTTAAATTCAGTCCTGACCCTCCAGCCTTTATCATAAGCTAGGGTATGTCTGTCTTTCTGGAACAAAGTGTTGATACGAGGGATACCTCGGTCCCAACTGTCCTCCAGATCTTCCAGGGTTAACCTCCTGTTCTGGGCATTGGCTTCTTGCCTTTTCAAGGCATATTCTGCCCAGACTCTTTGAGAGTCAATAAATTCAGATTCCCAAGGCATAATATATCTTTGAAAAAAAAAAAAAAAAAAAAAAAAAATTGTATAAATAGCTATAAATAAATTTCACCACTAATTTTCAACTAGTCTTTTTTAGTTTATTGCTTTTATCACAAAAAATTTGAAGTAAGAATAAAGTAGACTCTTTTATATTACTAATTAGAAACTTATCTTTCATGTATGATGTCTTTACCAAATTCAGCCATGGAAGCTTATGGTTAGGCAAGGAACAAAAACAAATAACCATATATATTTGTGTATCATGCGACTTTTGAAGATCTAATTTTAAGTTGCATCATACACAAGATATAAAATTAGTGTATGTACTGCTGGCCATGGCTATGCCATTTCCATTTACAGTAGTCAAAAAGTACAGCTGTATTTAAAATAAATATGATTTTGATAAAACTGATGTTTTATATAACTGTATCCAATAATAATGGATGTAATGTTCACATATTAGTATCGCATTATAAAATATGAACATAGCAAATATGCATCTTTTCCATTGTTTACGTTTATAAGATGTTTAGCTGTTTTTCATTCAGTTGTTTATGGCTGTAAATGTTTATGCAACAAGTACAGCATTACTAATGATACCTTTATCATTCACTTTTTTCAACTAGGATATGTAATAAAGAGATATAGGAAAAGAGGTTTGTCTATTGTAATTTGGTCACTCAAAAAAATGAGTGAAAGGTATTTAACCAAAAAATAAAAATAAATTACTAGTGAAATACTTCAAATAAAGCAAGTTTTAATCTCAAATATCAATGCTACAGTTTAAAGTGACAAAAACAGCATTTATTAGCAGTTCATGTACCGAGTATGTAGTTTTAATCAGAAGGTTATATTATAAAATTAAGTTCAGACTACACAATTTCTTGCTAATCAAACTAGTTCTATGCTACAAAATTCAGAAATAGCGAAAATATTAAAGTTATCTATGTTCATGCATTTACACATATGTTCCATACACATACAAATTAAAGATCTGTAAAATGTATTTACCTGTACAAATTGGGAATTAACTGATCTTCATCGTGACTCATACCAGATCGGAAATGAGTGATGCCAACATCTGTCTGTTTAGACCAACGAAGATCTGATTGTGGTATGAGAACATGACCCATGGACAACATGCCTAATCCACCTAATTCTTTTGGAGTATAGAATACAACTGGAGGAAAACGGCTAGGCATTTTAGAGTTGAGTCCAATCTTGATACGGGTTTGAATTTTATTCTCACATTTGACCAGAAGGTCCAACAGTTCTTGTGTATTAACCACAGCCTCTCGGAAGTATGTCATTAAACCAATGAGAGCTGTGTTCCATTTATTAACAATCTGAAAGAAATAAACAATTAAGTTATGCAAGTTTCATAACATACTGGAGTAATAAAATGGGTTTTCCTGACAGTATAAAATTTTATCAAAACTTGACAATATAAACCTTCAGCCTGTCATCTTGAGTGAAAAATACACAATGAGTTCTAAGTAGTATAAAAAAAAAAAAAAAAACACACACACACAGAGCTATTATATAAGCAAGTATTTTAAGATTAATTTCATTTGTAGGCAAGTATAACTCACGGTTAACAAGTGTGAAGCTATGGAATAAATGAAGCACTTGTGACAACGGCAAAAGAAAGGAAGAAATTAAATTTACAAAGAGAGAGACAGTAGATAATGCCAAGAAATGGTGCAGAGTGTGTGCATATATATATCTTTAAAAACACCAACAGTAAAGGCATGCAGGAAAAAAAAACAAAAAAAAAAACACACAAACAAACAACAATGTCAAAGTATTGAAAAACAACACAAAGCAGAAAGGGATTGTAATAGAAATGATATCAACCTTAGATATGTTTGAGATTGATAAAATTACAAGAATAGTAAATAACAAGGGTGAAATACTAGAAAAGTTCTGTAGATCTATCTTCAGAGTAATGTGAAAAGAAATCAGATGCAAATTTATGTATGCTTGGTGAGCCATATAACTAATAAGAATTGTAATGAGATCATAACAGAATTAGACTACAAATAAGGGGAAGGACAATGTAAGATGCTGGACCAAGAAATACAATTCTCATGCTGTCAAAGAAAAAGAACAAATACAGAAAACTACCGGTATTTCAGAGAAAATACAAAGTTCTCAATATAGCATGATACAAAGAATTTCTTAAAATCTTTTTTAGCAAAGCTTAATCTACATGAAAAAGACATGATAATCTACAATGTTTATATTGAAAATAAAGTTCATATGCAAATAGAGAACAAATTAAGTGAGCACACCAAAACAGAAAAGAAAAAAAAAAAGTATGACTGGTACGTGTCTCCTAAATAGATTTAACTAGTAGAGCAAGAAGATTCTAATAATGACGAAAAAAAAAATTTTTTGGAAAGTTTCCACAAATAGGTTTGGCTAGGTTTATTTAACAGTATATCAACCTCAAAAGGTTATTTAATGCCAATAAGATTTTTTAGATAGGTTCGTATGAATAGAGTATGTCTTCTTTGTAAGGAGTTATTTTGTAGATCAGGTTTCATTGACATTTTGTAAAGGGGGAATTTCTCAAGAGTATTGCTGGTAATAATTTTTCCTTCAAAAATTGGTTGCAAAACAATGTCGGTAAACAGATTTGAAAATGAGTTTTTTGGTGTTTTTTTTTTTATATTGTCCTGCAGAGCCCAATTTCTTTAATGAAATGAATTCTACTTGGATGCTATTTTCAAATAGATCCTTTAAGTTATCCGATTTGTAGAGTTTGTTTCGGATTTGCTGGAAGTTACAGCAACTTTTTTATTTATTTTAAGTGAGGGATGAAAGCAAGTTTTTTATCAAGAAATATTCCCAGAAATTTATGTCAGTCAGTCATCTCAATTTCTGTTCCTTCAAGTTTAAGAGTTGGATCATTGTGCATATTTTTCTGATTGCAGAAATGGATACACGTTTGGGTTTGGAGAATTTGAAACCGTTTTTCGTAGTCCAATGTTTTAATTTATTAAGGTATACTTGCAGTTGTCATTCTGCCATGTGCATAATTTTTGCTCAGGTAGAAAGTCAGAATGTCATCTACATATAATGAACTACCGATACCTTGATTCAAGCAATTAACAATGTTAATTTTTATATTAAAAAGAGTGATGGACAGGATGCAAACTTGTGAAATTCCTTCTTGGATTTTTGGGTCCAAGGGTGTTGATCACACCCGAACATTGAAAATTCTATCTGACAATCTTATTTATCAAATTGAGTAATCTGCCCTTTAATCCAAGATTGTGTAAGTCTTTGATTATTCTATGCCTCCATGTCTCATAGGCCTTTTCTAGATCAAAGAAAAGGACTATTGCATCTTCATTTTTAATAAAAGCCCCTCTAATGAAAGTTTCTAGGCAAACTATGTTGGCTATGGTGCCTCTTTTATTTTGGAATCCACTCTGTAGATTGGTAATTAAACCATTTGTTTTGAGGTATCAGTTCACTATTCTCTCTAGGGTTTTGCATATGTAACTTGTTAATGTTATGGGTCTGATCCGTCTTTATCTGGTTTTGGTATACGGATCACAGTAGCTCGTTTCTAGTCATTCAGTAGTTTTACCATAAACATCTATAATGAGATACGGTTTAACAGATATTTTAATGATTTGACGAGTTATTTAAGAAACTCGTAATGAATTTCATCTGGGCCAGTAGCCATACTATGCTATTCATTTATGGCATCTCTAAGTTCATTCAGAGTAAAAGGATGGTTGTAATCTGTTTGAGTTAAAGTTCAGCTTATTTTTTTTTTCTGCATCATGCCTAACTTTTTTGGAATTGCTGTTTGTAATTTTTGCTAGAGGAATTTTTTTTTAAAGTTTCAACAAGTAGATTTGTTATATCCTTTTTGTTATTTTGGGGAGGTTGATAGATTTTTGCCAGCAATTTTCCTTATCATATTCCAAATTTTTTTTTAGTTTCATAAAAGTTCATTTTATTCATGTAATCGCTCCATGATTTTCTTTTAGCTTCTTTGATAGCTCTACATGCTATTGCTCTTTTTTTTGTTTGAAAGATTTAAATTATGGGTTGTAGGTTGCATATTAAATTTTTATAGTGCTGCTTTACATAAAGATTGCAAAAAGGTAATAAGATTATCAAACCATGGTCTTTGATGTTTATTTGATTCACTGTGTTTTGGTATACATTTTCTCGCAATTGCTATTAATGTTTCAGAGAAAAATATTCAATAGATTTTTTTTTGTCATCTTTGTCGGTAAGTTTTTGATAGCATTGGTTTTTATATTCCCTCCAATCCACTTTGTTTAGTTTCCACTGATGGAGACGGTTTTCAATTGGTGCTGAACTCTTCTGTATAATTGGATAGTGATTACGGACACATGAATTGTTGAGAACTTGCCAATTGTAATCCATAAAAATAAAAGAACATAGTGATAAGTCAATAGCTGAGTATGTACATGATACAGGATGTAGGTATGTATTAGACTTATTTAGTAAACACAAGTCATTACATTTTCCAGGTTTTTCCCTTTTTTGTTAGAGTTTCATGTAACATTTTAGCTGTTTGGTAACTTTGCTGGTAACTTTTTAATTACAAAAATGTATTTCCGACACCTTCACTACAAAAAATGTATTTCTATCTTTTCATAGTGTTTTGACCCCAAATTGGGGGTTAAACTATTTGCCCATAGCTGGAACCCTAACAGGTGCAACCACCCCCAGGGGTGGGGACTTGGGAACAACAGCAATTAAGAGGTGGTTCCATGCTCCTCAAAACCTCCCAATGAGAGGCCTTGCTGCCAGATGTAGTTTTTCATCATACCCAGGATAGTCAACAAATAGAAAAAAAATATTACAAGTGCAAAAAAGTCATGAAAGAAGAAACATTACCAAAAAGCAAAAGACAGGAAGCTGTAGAGAATTATGATCACCCACATCCTGAAGGGACATGGAACACAGAGAATATAAAAATACAATACATTACAATTTTGAACAGGTACAAACTGTCTCCATGCTGAAGTAATTTTGTGATCACATTTCAAAAATTCATAATACTCAGATAAAAATATAAAGGCATTATGTGCAATTATTTTTCATGCAACAAATTGTATTACATCCAGGTGAGAACAAGGATGGGTTGAAACGAAAAAGGTTACAAAAATAACAGACTGACTATACAAATCTCCAACTGTCTAATTAACACTTCCTACCTTTGTGAAAGTTGTTGATCCAGATGCCATTAAAATTTGGCGGACACGATTGTGAAACCGGTTCATTGATTCCTCATCAACTCTCAAAAAACATTGGGCTGTCCTTTCTTTAGTAATTTCATTCTGCAAATTCCAGACTCCATCTCTATGAGTAAATTCTTCATGTGTAGTACGACACTTAGGAAGAATACGACATTCAAACCCAGACATGTTGAACAGCAAGTTGGGGTTATCCTTACTGTAAACTGAAACAAAGCTATTTTCCCATTGAATAGTAGTTACAGAACGGGGCAACCTGTTCTTGATGTCCCAAAACACAGCACGGCCCCTAGTGGAAAGAAAATAAGGGTTGTTAGAGACTGAGAGAGAGATAGAGATTTGTATAAACAGAAAATTAAAAGTATTTCTATTATAAATATGCAAATCTACATAAGGCCATAGAATATGATGCTGGAGGACAATCTTTTTTTCTTTTTTAATTGAAATATTTGTATCAATTTCATACTGTTTTACTTACTGATTATAATTTTTAAACTTTAACAGTTAATTAAAATCATTAAAAAAAAAAAAATAAATAAAAATAAAAAAAAAAATAAAAAAAAAATAAAAAAATAAAAAAATAAAAAAAAATAAAAAAAAGTTTTTAAATTAATGATTGCTGAACTATAAAAACTATTTCAATTTTTTTTTTTTACATTCATTGCTAGACTTACATTAATATGAAAATTTAAAATGTTAATGAAAACTACTTATGAATATTTGATTATTTCTTATTTCACAGAAATTATTCTAAGATATTAAACAGAAATTTGATCATTTTATATGAATAATGACTTCAAAATTTAAAAATTATTTACATACACAAATGTCTATGATAAAATATAGTTGCAAAACAGTTTTCAATTTTATGTAAATTTTACAATTAAGCTTTTTTTATTAAAATAAATTTACAAAATGATGAAATAAGAGAAAATTTTATTAGTATCTACTAATTATAATGATTCAAATTTTTTTTAAGGGAGTGTATATTCACTTTAAAAAAAAAAAAAAATTATTCTCATTTTACATGAGAATTTTGCCAAATTTTTCTTTTTCAAAGTGTATAAAACTCAAATTAACGTTTTCTATAGACTGGAGAATTTTACCATTATTCTGGTGTTCCTTCCATAACTGGTATGTAGAATAGCCAAACATTTTGCTGTTAATCACTTATTTACAAGTGTGAACTAACAACATAAAATGAAATTGATACAAATTTTTTTTTTTTGTCTTCTTTTAGTTAGATATTACTAAGTCAAAAAACAAAATGAAGCTACTATATTTAACAAGCAAATTATATTAAAACAATGACAAATTTGTTACTTACAAATTGACATCATGCTTCATAAGTCTCATTCTGGAATCTCTTGGCCAACATTTCTTGTTGTTATAGCCAACAATGTTTTCATTGTTTGGATCGGGATGTTCTGTCAAATAACGCTGGATCAGATCACGAGCCTCTTCAGCAGTGAATCTGAAATTAAATGTATAACATTATTTCCTCACCAACTCATGTTGATAACTAAACATTTCATTAAGTTTTTTTTTTTGTTTTTTACAGATTTTCCTTCATGATCATAAATTATGACGTATAATGCTTATTTTAGCATTATATATCAAGTATTGTATATTATAATTTATGGTTATGAAGCAAAAAAAAATTAAAAAAAAAAAATAAAATTCTCCAGCGATTCAATAAAAAATATTGGAGTATATATATACTTCCAAATCGTGAAAGTAGAATTTAGTTATTGTATTTCTCTACAATTCTTTTTCAACTTAAAAAATATTCAACTTTACATATCCTGGTTATTCCTGTATTTATCTTAATTTGAAATACTTACCTGAAAAAAATGTGAATTCTGTCAATGTAACGGCAAAATAGCCTGATAGGATGTGCAATTTCAGTGTTGACATCCTGAAATTTAAAAATATTTTTGCAAATTACTAAAAGTACCTGTCTTTTAAGCATGACTAATACTAAAAAAAAAAAAAAAAAAAAAAAAAAAAAAAAAAAAAAAAACAGCTACTTACATACACAGAAGAATAATTAGTTTAAATCTTTCTTTTTTTTCTTTTAATTTAAAGCAGGACATTTTTGTTGATAAGCTTGTTAATACTGAATGCCACAAGAAAATCAAGAGTATACTGGCAATATTAAAGCTTAAATTTAGAAAATATAAATATATTAAATGTAGAAAATTAACATTAAACATTAACACTGAGAATATAGAATTTGCTACAAAATAAATAGACAAATTAAAAAAAAAAAAATTAAAAATAAAAAATCCAAAAATTCTGCAGAATTTGGGATTTTTCCCCCCTAAAAAATGTTATGAATTTGTATAATTATGTGTTAATTGACTCCATATGATTGTGAATGGATGAATAGCAATGTAATGGCAAGTACAAAGAATATTTAATGAATTTACTTTAGAATCTTAAGATTTTCATCTACATTTTTAGAATTAATATTTACAGAATTATGATGATAATAACAAAAAAAAAAAAAAAAAAATCTAATATTGTATAACCTCTTCTGAAACCTATATTTAAAAATTTAAGACCCTTCCCTTAACCAAATTTTCTTAGAAAGAAAACTAAAATTTACTTGATATGTGAGGAAGTCATTAGGCATCTGTGGTGGTCCTGCCATTTCACTGGCACGGTGCAATCCAAGGACAAGTAAATCCATCACTAAACCATAGAATTGAACAATGAAGGAAGAAAACTGGAGTCCTCGAATGATACCATATGAATTGGTGTGATTCATATCCTATAAGATAAAAAAAATAAATAAAATAAAGATAAAAATATATCTACAATTTCATAGATTAAGGCACCATTTATTCATAAAAGAAGAAATAAAATTAGCAGTTTCACTAGAAATATAACCAAGTTTTATTGTCTATATCTTTGCAAAGGTGTGGATCACCCTCATACACAAATTAGAATCACCTAAATTAAATGGATGGCAATGAATGATATCATTTGTGTATCTTGCAGTGTTGGAATTAAATCTATCCAACTGGTACATTAATGAGCATTTTCTGTTATGCAGGTATATAAAAAAACTTCTTATAAATTATACACCTGAAGAAAGCTAGAGATTATCTAAAATATGGTAACACTATCAACAGAGAAGTTCAATTTTTCAAGCAAGTCTTGGAATATAATTATTATTATGCCTATTATAATTATTAACATGAAATATATAACTTATTTTGAACAAGCTTTTGATATTTATAATTTTTTTTTAGTTTCTCACTCAGAAATTAAAAAAACTTCTGATCAATGCATTAATAATTTTATACAACATAAAAACCATTCTAAAACTTGCAGCAAAAAGTTTCACCTGTCACACAATCTTCAGGCATTACTTCCAACAATCCAGTCCCACACATACCTAACCAAAAGGCAATTAGGATTGTGGGATTATTGCATGATCTCTTACATTGATTTAAAATTATTGTATCTCTACTTCCATATTCTTTCAGTTACCCCATTTTGTAAGTATGTTCAAGTAAGAGATTATTTTGTTTATTCAAGCAAATATACTGGAATCACCTTAGCAAATAAAAAAAAATTTTTATTCACAAAGTTATTCATTTCCTTTAATCAAGTAGATTGAGAGACAAGGATTTTAAATAAGAAAACAAAAGCTAAAAAATTTTTTAAAAAAATGATAGTCACCTTGTAGTTAATGACTACATTGTTTTTAGCTGTCATATAATCTGCAATATTATGGTCAACAATGAGACGCAGTAGCCTGTTGAGAAGGGTCAAATCGATCTTTTCATACATTTTCTCAAACTTTGATTCTAGAAGAACATTACACTCTCCTTCTGCTGTGTCCCAAACATCCTGCAAATTGTTGATGCCTGAAATAAAGAATTAAATATTTTTTTTGGTATCAAAACAAAAAGATTTAAATTTTGAATTTAAATTCATGAACAAAATTTACATATGTAAAAATGATTCCAGTAGTCAGCCACTTCAATTCTTATTGCCAACCAATACCAAACTGAATACTGTGTTGCTTCTCATAACTATTTTAACCACATTCTATTATGAAATCTCTAAAGATCAAAGATTATTGAAAGATATATCTAATAATGGTTTGTTGTTGTATTTAACACAACTGTTTGAATAATTACATGCAAAATTCTAAAATTAAATTTATTTAAAAAGATTACCTTAAATTCTTACATCTGCCAATATATAAAAAAAAATATCCAAACTATTTTTCATGCAACACTTCAGAAATTAAACTGCTTGAATCAAGAGTTTTTTGGTTTTTTTTAATGTTACCAGTTGGAATAATGCAGTTACATATTGACAGTTTTAATAATAATAATAATAAAACTAATTTACTTTTTGTTTGTTTTGATAATTCAGTTATAAAATTAGACATATTTACAAGTCATATCTTATAAATGTTCTAAATTAACAGAAGAATTAAATAAACTGTCATATGAATATAGTTATTATAAACATTGTAATAGAAAGAAATTAGAAAACAATATGAGCATGGATGTGTATAAAATATTCTATCATTAAGTTTTTTTGTTGCAAATTGATATATTGGGAAATCCTAATTAGATGTCCAGTTATCTGCAGGTAGATGACATAACCACATCATCCGCTTTTATATTTCAGGAGATTTTAAAACAATTTCACTGTTAATTTTTAGAATTTTTTTTAAAAAATATTTTGTATCTACTTGATATTAAGACTTGATAAGAGCACACTGAAATGTTCAGCTTACAATGTTGTAATGACAGATTCAAAAATCTTAAAATACTGCACAATAGTAAGGTAGTAGTAGTAGGACAACAACAATGATAATAATCATAAATTAGTAGCCTGCAAATATATGATTATAACGCATAACAGAAAATCATAAGAGAAATAAAAATGAAAAATGAATGAATTAGTAACCTTGACACCACTTGTAGACCAGCAATGGTGGAGGTTCTGTATCAGCTGGTTTGATCCATTGAGGAAACAAACGTCTTTTGTCGGCTTCATACCACAAATACTGGTCAAGGTAAGCATCTGTAATTTTTTCTAATGGCTCTACATCATAGACAGGAACCAAATGACTGTACAGATCCATGAATTCAATTCCCACCTTTTGGAATAAGAAATAAAATTGAATTTATGTGTAGTCATTAAAGAAGACTTTTTTTTTTCAAGGGGTGGGGAGGATAAATAAAAGTGACCCTAAGTTGATAATTTTTTTTTTTTACTGTATTACCAAGTCAGGTCAAAAGCTGAAAATTGAAATTAGATGACCATAGTTGTTTTAACATTAACTCTGCATGTTACATTCCAATCAAAATTTCTTTTCCCAGTTTATTTAACTCATGATTGAAAATTTTTTAATAATAACCATTAAGCTTTGTTTTTTTTTAAAATGGCTACATTTGAGAGTTGCTGAATGTGTATCCATGAAGTGTCGTAACACAAAAGATTGTAAAATGCTAAAACAATAATAGTCAATCAAACTGGTAAAAGAGGAACAGTAATATTTATAATCTTAAGGAATTAAAAAATTTTTTATGAATAACAGAGTAAAGAAAAAAAACAACTATTTTTCATATCAATAAAAAAATGTTTATTCACCTCTTTGAAAGCTCTTTGTGTGAGCAAGTGACGCTTGATACGAGACAAAGCTTCATGAGGATTATCATAAGCTTGTTCAATCAATCCAAGTTCCTCTCTCTGTGACTGGTTTAATCTGCTTTTAACACTAAAACAAAAAATATCAATAATTATATAAAAATTTACAAATGATACAAATAACATTTAAATCATTGTTACTTTGGAGATTATTCTTATCAGATATTATAAAATATTGAATATTTGAAATATTTTGATAAATATATTGTTTGTAAATATTTGATTAACAAAATTTTTAACTGCAAACAAATAGGCCATAGAAATAACTACATTTGAAACATACCTATAAGCTTCCTTGAGTCTTTCCAAAGCCAGAATCAGCAGTTTGGTGTCATGCTTGTAAGAAAGTGGAGGAAATGGAATGGGAGAGAAGCGTCTGCTCTCAAGCCAATGTACAGTTGTGGTATAGATAGCAACTGCTTCCTCAGCAGTGATATATGGACCATCCTAGAGTTGAATAGTTAAAAAATTAAAAATAATCAATAGGAATGTTTTTTTCTTGTAATTTAAATTTTAGCTATAGAAGAAAAATGAAAAAGAAATTCTATTACATATAGTGGATAGAAAAAGAAATTTCCAAAATTTCCTCAAATCTTATTCATATAAATTCAGAGGAAAATTTATTCAATTATCAAAGCAATTTTCCATCATAATGATACCTTTCAGCTAAATTGTGTATTCCATCATAAAAACAACAATTCCAGTTTTGATATTTTGAATGTGTTGGAACTCTGATCAGACAAGTGTTGTGTTAGAGTCTGAAAGTAACAGTTCTAGAGAATTTATAATTTGTAGAACTTTCCATCCCATCACTAGGATTATTTGCAGCTATCACATTTGACACATCAACATGTCAGGCAGTTTTATCTCTGGTCTCCTTTGTCGAGAAAAAGATCTTTCCTCTTCAAATTGTTTATTGCAGAATGCTGTGCATTAGGTATGTCCAAGTTTCAGCAAAATTCCCTTTAAATTTTACCAAACACATTTTTCAGCAGATTACATTTATGTTTAGACATTTAAGGCTGTCCCAAAATGCAGCAAGATTTTCTGTTTTCAATTCACATAAAAACATTTTATCACTGGTGATTATTTTGCCCCAATTATAAATTGTTATCCTCTTTGTATAATATTTCTCACACACATAACATACATATATATTTATTAGTCAGGGATTGCTGCTATAGTTGGACACAATCTCAAGCTTAATATTGCTTTTGAAGGGATCCCTTATCATTTTGTGTGCAATATATAGGGGAAAAATACATCTGAAAATTAAATTTAGGGATTTTTAAACATATTGCCTTGTCAGCACATAAGTGTTTTATTTAAATTATTTACCTTCAAATAATTGTGCTGCCTTTCTTGCTCTGCTTTGAGATAAAGACGAGTCAATCGACCAAGGTTCTTTTTGCATACTGTTTTGTCAACCTGAAGAAAGAAAATTTCATTTAAATATATCAAATATAAATGACTGCAGACAAACTGGCAACAATTTTCTACAGCTTTCAGTAAAATGAATTTTGTATTTAAAATGAATTTGCAACATATGAAAAATATAAATATGAAGAAAATAGCTGAATAGCAATTAAGACCATAACCATTTAGTCAAAAGTTTTCAAATAATAAAACTTTAATAATATTGGCGATACTTACAGTGGCACCACGCCTGATCCTCTCTCTGTTGTAATGGGCAGTGTTTGTCCACCAATCAGCTTTTGCTTTCACATAACGAAGAATCATGTTTTCTATTGGAATTGGCAGACCTGGAACCTAAAAGGAAAAAAGTTTTGAATTATCTGAACCATAAATTATCCAGAAAAAGAGATTCAATTACATTCCTATTTGCATAAATATATCCTCCAGGGATTATTTCCAATTTGGTTAAATGGAAAAAATACATCAATAGAAAAAAAAAAAAAAAAAAAAAATATAAATCAGATTAAACTAATATTAGTTTAAGACCTCTGAAATCTAATAATAACTATTTTTTCCATAATATATGTTGAAATGGGTAATGGAAAGTTTTGATTTCTTGTTTAACATATCAACTCCTAATGGGTCATTTAATGTCCAAATTTAGAGCTATGAAGTAATAAAAATGAAACATGTTATTCTACTTTCACAATTGAGTACATGGTAAATGATATTCAGATTTTGTGCCTATACATGTTTGTATGGACATAATTACAAAAAGCAGCAATAAGCATGTTCTAAGTTGTAGTTTTGTTGAAGTTATATTTTGGAATAAAGGTTGATTTCTTTAACAAATTGTAGGATATTATATAGCTTAATGTCATGGAAGTTTTCTTTCATGTTGGTTGATTTTGTTTAGGAGCATATCAACCTCTATGGGTTATTTCAATTACAGGCTGTAGTCTAATTTTATATGCCCCCCCCTCCATCCTTTATCATAGAATATCACTTACAGCCCGCCAGTATTGTCAATCAGAGTATGTAAAGTGCACACTTAAGAAATGCAAAAGATGGCAGCAGCACTATGGGGTCACCCTTTGGCAGTGTGACCCTGACCATGGCCTTTTCCAGCCAATTTCTAAAATCACTGCCTTTGAACCAGACCTAGCCTACATACTGTAGTCCAGATCTCAGTATCACCATTCACATTAGCACAGGACAGTTATTTGTTTTGGTCAAAATCAGTTATATTTATATTTGGACACTTGGACTTGTGTCACTGTTTTTTTACTTCTTAATACAATGAATGTTGGTGTTATGTTCCTATTCACATGAATTTAACTTAAAAGTTAAAGACAAAATTAATTACCAATAATATAGCTTCCTGGAATTTTTTTCTCAGACATATTTTACTTCATTTTATATGGGCTTCAGGTATGACAAGCTGGGTGATTTTGGTAAGACCTGTTTAAATTCATTTGTCATCCATGTGAAGTAATGAAAATATGCCATTTGCAATAAAATTTGCATTTAATTTTAATGGTTCAAAGAATGCCAAGCAGAATGGTTGGCCCTCACGCATATTCACCTCATCAATTCTGTCTCACTTTGAAAAAAGTTTGCACACCCCTGGATTATTTAAAGCTGAAATCTAAATATTTTAAATGCAATTGCATGCCTTGAACTACAGATATGTACGGCTGGTAATTTTTACTATAAATATGTATTTTTATAATTTTAATAGTGTTTTGTTTTTGCTTGGAGGTTCACTATTTTGCCCATAGCTGGGACCCTAATAGGTGCTACCACCCTGGGTCAGTGTGGATCTGGAAGCAACAGCAATTAAGAGGTGTTCCCACACTCCTCAAAACTTCCAATCTCCAGATCAGAAGCCTTGCTGCCAAATGTAGTTTATTGCTAAGTAATGGAAAGGATCTAAGAAATACTGAAAAACAGAAAATAAAGTTATTGTGTGAGGGAATGTCCACATTAAAGATATCAAAGGAGCTTTGCAAAGATCATCAAACAATAAAGAGGGCTGTTGAAAAGATAACTAAGTTGAGAACTACAAGCAAAGGAATAGGCTTTACAACAAACTTGTCTCTTTGAGAGGAAGAGAAATATAGAGAGTTATAGCAAAAAAAAAAAAAAAAAAAAAAAAAAAAGTATCACAGCCACTAAGACACAAGGGGTTACAGCATGTGGATGAAACAGAAACATTAATATTGAGTAGAAAGAGAAAAAGGGAGTCAAAGACAAAAGTGTGAAATACTTGACAAACTGGAATCCGTCAAGTAATCTCCTACACAAACTTCTCTCAATAATACAAATATTTTAAAGTGTCAAAATTGGGCCATGACAATCAACTTTTCACTGAATCTCGGGTGACACCTGATGAACAGGCCAAAGGCTAGATTTTATCCAATGCAAATGTGTCTGTAACTAAAAGGCAGCAAGGAGGTGGTGAAAGTGTGATGATATATGCTGGAATCATCAACCAAACCATTATTGGTTCATTCAAAGTCAAAGAAATCAAACTGAACAATGCTAACTATTGTAATTTCATGGACATATTTTCTTTGAATGGTACAAGTCCTAGCCTCACAGTTTCAAAGTGAAGTATGTATTTATGCACAACAATGCTCATTCTCATGTGTCTAAGGTTACTTGTGATTTTTTTTTTTTTGGAGTGTAAAAGCTTTACAAGAGAGAAGATAATGGAATGGCTACCATCAAGTCCCGATCTGAATCTGATCAAAAATGGTCAATGGTAAAGATGAAATTCTATGACAGTGGCAAACAATATTATGATAGCAAAGCAGACCTATGGCAAGCAATTAAAACCACCATGTCTTAAACAGATTCTGCTGAAGTATATATATATATATATATATATATAAAAAAAAAATTGCTGGCTGTTATTAAGAAGGATCATTATATTAAGATGTAAATGCTTCAAAGACTTAGGTTTTTTTTTTTTTTTTATTTGTTCTATTATAGGTGTTGATCAATTGCTGATTTTATTACCTTATTCTTAAAGCATTTTTCGGGTTTTGCATAACTTCATTCTACAGTTTTTATACTAAATCCAAAAACTTTAATAAAACATGTTGAAACTACCTAAAAATTTAACTCAAGTTTTGTTTTAACATCTAAATTAACCATTTAAAATTTGACAAAAACTTTTTAAAGCAAATTTGAGTTATTGAGGTTTATGTAATTTGTGTAATAACTTCAGAGTGTATACAATGTTTTGAGAAGATTTCAAATGTCATACCAAAGAATCATGGTTGCTAAGCTTAACATGCAGCCCTACTGTAGTGAGTTTAATCCTTAACAGATGCCACACATTTCTAGCCTTGGGTCATACCAAGTTAAGCTTAGTAAAATACCTAAAGCAAGCAATGTCTACTTGTTACCTTTTAGGAACCTTCAGATAAGACCATTAAAGAAATATTCTTGACTATGCTTCCCTCTATCAAGAGTAAATTAAGAGACACTAGAGTTTACCTTCCATGGAATATTTGCTTTCCAGCAACGCCAAGCTTCACTGAGATGCTGCAAGATTGTCCTGGCTTTATTCTGTTTAATTCCTTCTGGCATCATGTCCAGAATATCATGCATAACCTGAAGTTTAAAGAAAAAGAACATTTTAGCATTAAATTAAATCTCACAAAAGACAGCAACACTTTTCTTATCCTTCAATTTGTAAATTGTAATATTTTTCATAAAGAGATTTCAATTAATTGAACTTAAATATAAAGATGAACTTTTTGGGGAGATAGCAAGTAGTGTTTGGGTTTACAAAGACATCAATGCTAACTCCTTGAAAAAAAATACGCCCAGTTTTTGAAATTGCAATGTTAGTGTTGGAATCCTTTAGCAAGTAAATAGTGTGCTCAAAAATTAATGAGCAGAGAAATATCCAGATGCAACAGAGTAAAAATTGATTTTTGTTTTACCTAATAAAAATAAAGTAAAAATTAAAAAAAAAAGAAAAAAAAAAAAAAATGTTCAGTTCACTTTCTATATTTAGAGAGAAAAAAAAATATCGCAAGGAATATACAGCAAATACTTACTGCAGCTCTCAATTCCAAATCATAGTGACTTTCAACACGCTGCTTGGTGACTGTCTTGGCTACACCCTTTGAGTGCCGCCCTTCAAATTGCCTGGACAGGAGATTACCTAACCACCGCTCCAGTAAAGGAGTGATGCCACGCATGAAAAACAGCCAAACTCTCCAGCCAGGTGACCATATTCCACAACCTGGGCCTTTGCCAACTGGACCCTATTAACAAAAAAAAAAAAAAAAAAATTTTGTTGTTTTTTTTTTTTATAACTTTCAATAATATTTGAAATGAATTTAGATTTCTGCATGCATACACACACAAACAAAATATCAGGCAGTTTTAAACTAATTTTCATGTGGTAAAAGATTTAAACTAAGTGTTGAAAATTTTTTTTTTTTTAATTGTCTATTTTCACCTTATACACTTTAACCTTTCCACCCAAATAATTTCTAATATATACAAGAAGCTGAATACTGAAAAAAAATCTGCCTAAACAAGAAGCCCCTTGAAAAATAAAAAGGGTGGGGTGCATGGTTAGATTTTGGGTGACTCAGGCCAAGAATATTTCAGCATCCAATTTATATATCAAAATAAATGTATTTTTAATATAAAATATTTCATACTATTAACATTTTTAGTGGGTATGTGTGTGTTTACCGCTATCACTTTTTACTATTCTTAAGCAACAAAATTACTAACTGGCCTGGATTGAGGAGTCCCACTAAAGAAACATTGTGCTTTCGACAGGAATCAAACGTGTATCCCTTTTTCCACCAAGGAAACATCTTCTATAACCAAAACATGCCTTCTCTCTTAAAAAGATACAATTCTTTCTTATGTGTGAGGATTAGTCTTTATCATCACTTTAAATTATGTCACTATCAGACAGCATTTTTTCCACATTTTTAAAGCAGACAATTTCATAGCGGTGTTTTTAAAACTTGCTGCACTTGCATCTCCCTACATATATCAAAATAATCCCAAAGAAAAAAAAAAAAAAAGGACACTCATCAATTTGGTAAGATAGGGTTTGAAACTGTATTTCACAAAAAAATGATAAAGTTGAAAAATTTGGTGGATGAAATACCAAAGAAATTCAACATTTAAAATAAAAATTGCACTTTCTTGTAGAGCAAAGTACTGTCTTCAGTAGTTGGTTTCATAACCTCTGCACTCATCAAGTTTAAGTGTACATGAATCAAAAAGAGGTATACTGCATTCATTTCATGCCAAACCATTGGATTCAACACAAAAATTTGTATTGCTGACCTAGTAAATGAACATCACCAGTTGAACCCCCATTTTAAATCAGACTTCTTTCATCAATGGATATTACATATTTTAAATCTTTTTCTTTAATGATGCATTTTAAAACTGTATAAAGTACTTGTTTACTGCATTTTGTCCAAAGTGTCATACTGTTTTTATGCACCTTCTTGTTGAAAAATAAATATATAAAACTAGATATATTCTTAATTCTTTAAATTTCAGTCTCAGGCTTGCCCATAAAAAAAAATTCAAAGAATGTCTTTTTACATTTGGAATACACACATTCTTAATACAGTAAAATTTGTCTTAACACAGAGCCAAGTATTTTTTTTACCAATTTCATGTCTATGCAGTGATTGAAGGAAGTAGATGAATTCAAGTAATGGAAAATGCATATAAAAATGGAAGAATATTTTAAAATGAGGAACATTAATACACTTACTGTGTTGAATCTGTAGTAAATGAGATGTTTGAGATCTTTGCACATCCTGATTTGTCTCATCAGTTTATATTTGTAGCGATACATTCCAGTCAGTTGGCCAACATGAGCAAAAATATATTGAAGGCCATCAGCAAGCTAAAAAAGAATAATAAATATATTTTTAAATGTGTTTTGAGACCAAGAGGATAATTATTCAGTTGTACATCCAGTGATTACAATTGTTTGAATATGATATATCAAAGAGTACAAATAAATATTTAATTTTCCAATAGCATATTTAAGCAAAAAACATTTTCTTATATAAAAAAGAAGGGGGGGTAGCACGAGAACTATAACCTTTGTTCAAGAATTCACACTAGATTAATCTATGAAATATTGCAAATTTTCTGTAGGTACACCAATAAGACTGTAGCCTGATGGTAGTAAGAATAAATGAAGAAACCAATAGAATCGAGTTAAACTGCTTTCTAGCTCAAAACTCAAATACATACAAAAAAATTAAGTAATAAAATGACTTTCACAGAATTATAAATTAAACTTACCTGAAATGCATCAACATTTCCAAGACGATATTGGACATGGCTATCAACAACCAGTTTAGTCAAACGGAGAATTTCTCGGCACAGATGGAAAGCATTACCAAACCTGGATTTCTTTCTTTCCTAAAATAAATGTTACATTAAAAAATTTTCAGTATTTCAGAAAAAAAATCATCATAAATATATATGGATGGGAGTGGACAGATGAATTTGAAAGATTTTAAGGACACTCATACTTGGGTGTCACTTCATGAATATCTGAAAACTAAGGTTAGTTTTGTACATATCATCAGAAAGTAATGTTTAAACACAAGGAAAAAGTTAAAATGGTCATGATCATCAAATAAGAAAGCATAATGACATCGCTAAATAAAACCATAAATTAAGAATCAGTTTGAATGAGTGTTAAAATAATGTTGTTTTACAGCAACGACCTTAGCTTCAAGTAATATGCATAGTTTAGATGTGGCACAAGGCCGAAATTATGGGGGCTCCCAGTGAGGATCGAACTCACTACTCAGTCGTAATTGTTCTAGTGAGGCAAGCTTGCTAACCATTAACACTGCGTCGAAGTGCCCCAGCTTCAAATAATATAAGTCAACTGGAAAAGAAGTGAGACTCCAATACTTTTCCATCATTTTCCTGCAGACCACACAAACACATCTCTATCCTCCTTTAACTATCACACTCACTGTCTACTATGAGGAGGCATCTAAGTCTGCTCATAATGTCCTTATTGCAAAGGTCATTCTGAAAAATACACAAATTGTTTATTGGCTCCAGCTGATAAGTATTAGAGAACTTCACAGGTGGTCAACTTGTCTGCAAGAACCTGTATATGAAGATGTCTGTGTAGACACATTTCAAAAGAACAAATATAGGATCAATATTGTACTAAAAATTATTTTAAAAACTTACTTTTGTGGTAAGAGTTTTTACAGGCTTCAAGTTAAAATTGTAATCGAGATGCAAATAGTTTAGATTCTTCCGATGAATCAAGAGGTTCAACATGTTATAACCTTGACGGCAAACTTGGAGCCCTACTTCCACCCAATCCAACTGGGTGGTCTGGAAGAATTTTGTTGCTTTAAAAGAGCGGAACAGATATCTGAAGAGAAACAAAATATAATTGGAGATTATAAAAATTTCATAACTTGAAATTTGTGGAATATTATTAGATTCTAAACACAATTTGCTAAAAGTCATAAAAAACACTCAGCTATTAAATATGAGGGATGTTGAAAAGTACTCAGCCTGACCAAAAACTGCTCATTTGATCAGGCTTTGGAGAGTATATCAAGCAAATAACTTTTAAGCACCCCTTTTTAATCAGAAAGTAAAAAGAAAAAAAAAATCCCTATATGCACAACAACAAAAGGTATACATAAGACTTAAAAGCTGCAATCTATGAGAAGCACTAAAAGTAAGCACTCGGTTTAGTGACCATTTGTCGACAAGAAACATTAAATAAAATTACTTTTCTTTATAACAATATTCATTTTCTTTGTAAAAGAAAAGAAAAATGTACATTTCAAAGAAACTATATTTGTCAAAAACCATCATGTGATGGTTTTATGAAAATAGTAAAAGGCTTCATAAACCAATTTGGGGTTATTTTATCAATTCCAGTGATACTTTTTCCACACATTTTATTTTCTATGGATGGAAATGGTGTTAGATTTAAAAACCTACATGAAGTATTTTATTTTTTATGATGCACAGATCAAGTCCTTCATTTATATATTTATTTTGCATAAACTCCAGGTCTTAATGACAATTTGAAAGTTTTAAATAAGACATTAGAAAATACATTCCCCTCCTATTCAGTCTGGACAATCCCTACCCTGGGCTAAACAATATTAGTATTTTTAAAAATTTAGATTTTAAATTTAATCATCTAGCCATTAGTGTCTTGTGTATCAATTTAGGTATTATCAGTTACTTGGTATATTTATCTATTTAAACAGTGCTTCTTTCTTGCCTTATTTATGTTTACTCTATATCTTTTTGTCTCACTTAAGGTCCAGAAGAAAATCATGTATATGCCCTACCACCAAGATAATTGCTGGATCTGCCATTGTCAGAGTGCTGTATGCATGTAGGACCACAAAAATGATATAAAACCTTTCCAAGATGATGTTGATTCAGAATATATATATATATATATATATATATGACCCCTAAATTCACTCCTTTTTCAAAAAAAAAAAAAAATCTCAGACACAAATAACTCATTTATATTACCTCTTTTTCTGTGCTTTGGGAGGTCGATGTTTCAAAGCATTAAGCACATAATACTTTAGTAATTTTTGGTAAGATACTCTCACTTTGACTGGCATACCTGCAGGACAATGTTCACGGTACCTAGACAATAAAAAGAAGATTGCGTGTTTAAAAAAAAAAAAAAAAGTATAAAATAACCAAAATATTGAATAAAAAGTATCAAATTGGTTACTTTTCAGATACCCCCATCCAGATTAGTGTATACAAGAATAATATATTGTACTTTATAGTGTTATTTAAATACACCGAGTAGAAACCAAAAGACACTAATGCGGATGAACCACTGAAAATAAATGAGCAGTAATGAAGCAAAGATAACATTTCATTGATCTACACTATTTTTCAAAATATTTTGTATTAATGTAATTTAAATATAAGTAAACAATTAAAACCTCAAGCATCAATAAAATTTAAATCCTATTAAACTTATTTTCAATAATAGCATATGTTATTTTTTTCCCAACAAAAAAGAGCATTAAAATTAAAAAAATAGAACCATCACAAAATTTAAATATTAAATTTATTGACAATGAAAAGTAAAACCACAATTTAAAAGGATTCACTTCAAAAGTTGAAAAACAATGAATAATTATCTATAAATAGGAATTTTATTAAAAACGAGAAAAAACTTTAAATTAATGTCATAAAAATCAGAAAGAGGTATTTTTCTCACCAGGATTTCACAAGTGGAACATCAATAGCACGTCGTGTTTTTCCAGATCTCATATTGAAAGGCCTTGGTGCCCATAAAAGAGAGATACCATTAGCTGTATTGTCTGTATAGAGTGGAGTGTCTTGCATGAAAGCCTGAACATATTCAGGAAGCTCAAAATCCTCATCATCATCAGGTAATGGCTCAGTAACCTGAAAGCATTTAGTATATAGGTTTTAGTATATTTTTTTTATTTTTTTTAGCTATTTTCTGACATTCTGTAATTAAGATCTTTTCATTATTCCATATGTTTAATCTTAATGGTTTTTAACAATGTTTCACCAAATACATTTTTTCGCCTCCCTCAGGAGTTGGATAAAAAATTTACAATTTGCTCAGGATCTTTTTATCTCAATGAAAATATTATAATAGTCCAAAAGAATCAATCTTATGTTACTTGTATCAATGCACTAGCAAGATCAGTTAAAGTTATAATCATCAAAATAGTAAAGATTTTAACATGACCCAATTTCCAGAATCTGACCAAACATCAGTTTGCTTGCATGTTTGTGATAATGAAATATAGTATTAAACCCTTCAAAAGGAGATTAATGAAAGGCTGTCTATTAGAAATATCTAAGAGGCAAATAGTCACAAAAAAAAAAAAAAAAAAAAAAGGAATTGTTTGTTTTTTTTTTTTTTATTATAATTTATGTATACAGTAAAGGATATGGTATAAAAAATTGTTTAATTACAGTGAATTGAATTAGCACCTGGAATTGTCAGAGTTTGAACTCATGACTTAACAGGGCATTAGTTTAATCTATTCAGTCTGGATAGTAAAAAGGAAAGTGAACAAAGATTTAATAATAACTAGCAGGCTTTGCACACTCAATATCACTTCGCAAAGCAAGATATATTCACTACTTGAAATCTTTGAAACAAAGATTTTAAATAAATATTTTTTTCATAAATTGGCTTGCTAAGAAAAGTTTTACAAATAGATGCCAACTTGTTGAAGGTCAAGTAAAATGCAAATTTCAAACACTGCTGTACTATATGAGACAATATTCCTAAAACGGAACTATTTTTGATATGAAAATCAAAACAATAAAAGAACAGTATTGAAGGATAGCTTCTATTGAGCTTTTAGTGTAAATTTCTATAAGATAGAGTTGGGGATTTTTAACCCCAGAACTCATGGGAGAAATGTGCTCCAATTTCACATTTATTCATATAGAAGATAGAGTAGACATATGAGCTTGTTTGTCTTGGCTATTCATTAATACACAGATATCACTCAGAGGGCTTTGCACCATAAAAAAAAAAAAAAAAAAAAATCTAGAAGACACTGAAGAAAAATAAGTCACTCAGCATTTTAGTTACATGAATAGATAAGGAGAGGAGACAATATGACTAAGAGGAAAGCCTACTCAGTTCAATTATCACAACATAGGTCAGTAGACCTCGAGTCAAATTTTTTTTTTTAAATCCTCGGGATTTTCAATAACTGTGTGTACCGACTGTAATTTCATTAGCCAATAAGAAAAAAAAAAAAAAAACTCTTCATAGTTAAAGGTTCTACCCCTTTCAGGGAGTCAATTCAACTTAAAAAATCCCCAGCTTTGGTACTTTACATTAAGTTACCAGCAAAAGGAAGACAGAGTAATCTGAATACACCTGAGGAAAGCTAAAATATTGTTAGAATATACAGAATAACTTTCGTCAAGGTTTTTCATTGAAATTTTAGAATTATTTTTAGAAATTTCCTGTCTTTATCAAAAATCTATTTGTTAGAAAAGTACCTTTAATATTTATTGTGGAAAATAATTTCATTAGTAACTTTTATTCAGCTGTAAACTATTTTTTTTAAAGACATTTAGAAAATATTTGGAGATACCAGGATATAAATAGAAATCTTCAAGAACGATTAAAGGATTAAAACTCACTTTTGTTGCATGTCTGTGAGAAATTGGATTGATAAGAGGATCAAAATAGAATGCTGGCAAATCAGGATCTTCAGTTTTGATGTAAACAACATTTGGTTTGTGATACCTATTAAAAATAAAAGATCATGTGAGTTCTTAAAAATGTACATCAATAATAATCTAACTCTTCAGTTTTTAAGGAGAATTCACCTTAAACTTTCAGAGCCTTTTAAATGGAAATTTAGAGATCTTCAGCCTAAATGAAATGCACACCAATTTACCTTCTATAAATTTTGAGAAGTCAACCGTTAGTATCCAAATTCACTTTTATTTATTTTTTTTTTAAATTGCTTTTTATCATTACTACAACATGATCCAATTCTCAGCAATTTATATATATATATATATATATATATATATATATATATATATATATATGAGCAGCAGATCATTATTCAAACATATATTGTTAAATATAACATAATGAATGTCTTATGTTTGATCATGAACCGTTCTAATTTTGTATAGCTGCTTCAATTTCTAGAGAAAATCAAGACAAAAATTGTGCAACGTTTGGATTATTTTTTTTTTTTATTATTATGCTGTTCCTTGATCTAAGCTTTCAGCTCACTTGAGCCATCTTCAGCGTGGTTATATGGACATTTAAACAAAGATATTCACCATCAAAGATGATATTCTGTTATGTTGACATAGAAGATTGCTATGCGACAATAACAGTCATGGAATAGCAGACGCAGGTTGGACAATTTTTGTCTTTATTTACTCCCAAAATTAAACTATACAAAGTTTAGAACAGCTCATGATCAAAACATCGAGATTGTCTGTTTTTTTTGTTTTTTTTAATTTTATGTGTGTGTGTGTATATATATATATATATATATATATATATATATATATATATATATATATGATATGCTTTTCAAAGAAATCCACACTAGCCTGGCTTATACACTTGTCAATGACATTATAAGCTGCTACTTCCACTTTTCTTCATTCAACAATACTCCTATCTATTATGCAGACAATCGACAACAAGCTGAGCTGGTTAGTATAATAATAGTCATCAGTTATGTGCCATGTGATACACACTTAGACAGTTGCCATCCAAGGATATAGAATCCAGTCTATCCTGCTATTTACCCATAGCTGGGGAGAAGAAAAAAATTCATACCTTTCCCAAGGGTATTAGCACATAAGTAAATGCAATGGATTCGGCTCTCCAATTTCTTAATCGGAGCCACTATCCATTACTCCACTGTGCCTCCTTGTAATAGTCATAGAAAAATCATAAAAACAATGCAAGGAAAATTACTTTCCTATCATAGTTCTGGATAAAAAGTTTGTTTTTGTTATAAAATGACATTGGAAGCAATTAGTTTTAAATAACTTCATTCAAAAAGACCAAGATCATATGTAGGTACATCAATAATTTTATAAATCAAATGATGAAAAATAATATTTTTCATAATCTTTATTTCTTCTGCTTCCTTGTCAATACATTTAACTCATTCTTTTTCCATACATAAGTAATATAACACTATACAGTGGAAATTTCATATCAGAATTCAGCTACTAAACAGGTCAGACTGCAGACTTATTTATCCAACTTCATACTGTGAAAACTGTTGTATCAGCATGCATTTTTCTTAATGTCAAAATTAGAATTTTTGTTCATTGATTCTAACAGTGAAGAAAATATACAATACTTTCAACATGTTTAATTTAAAGTTAACTGCAACTCAGACACAAAGAGTTTGTGCCATTTATGGTAAAAGTGTAAATGATGAATTATGTAAAAAGTGGTTTAGAGATAAATTATGCTCTAGTCATGCAGACCAATTGAAGGTAATAAAAACAGAATATTAATCGAGATTAACCAATATGTGTGTGCGCGCGCGCATGTGAATTCAGCTCAAGTGTTAGTCATTTTAATGTGTGGGTTTCACAAAGAAAAAAATTACTGGATTGCATTTCTATGCATAATTCACTACATGCATGTAACAAAATTATTTCATTTCTTAAATTGTGATGGTGATAAAAGTGGATGCAACATAGATCAGATAAACAAAATAAATCACTAATCATAACTGGGGGGGGGGGGCTTGTGTGCTAGCGGGAACAAGACACTTCTGAATCCAACATGGTGATAAGCTGACACACACATAGAACTCATGGTTTAAATTCAAACAAGCCTTGCTGAACTCAGGCAGTAAATGAATAAAAGTTATTTTATTATGTGTTATATGCAATGCTCCCTATGCTCTACCGGAATAAACAATATTTTAAAAATGCTCGGCTTATACAGAAATAAATAAAACACCTATGTACAGATTTTGTATGCAGCTTCTGATATTGCCAATATAAAGGTTTCAAATTAAAATTTTATTATACCATTAACACTATACATTCAATACATCTTTATATTGTCATATCTATCCCTTTTCATGTTTGATGTTTTCAGCACCAACTGCCAATACTTGAGCAGTAGGAAATATCAACATCATATTTATATCTCACGACAAAAGCCATAGCCTATATTCTTACATAAGTTACATGCACATATGATCGTGACAATCAGTAATAGTAAATGAAGATTAAAATAGAAAAAAAAATAAAATGCAATAATTCTTAAAGTAAATATTGATCACCATCTTTCAAAAAACTAAATGTAAAATAAACTAATAACAATAAAATCTTTTTCAATGACTTTAATAAGGAATCAAAAGAGAAGAAAAAGTTGAAAATAAAACTTTCTAAATTTTACAAATAAATAAGAATTCTTTTCAGCTCTTCCTATGTAAACTTTTAAAAAGTGACTGACAAAACAAAGAAAAAAAGAAAAAAATAGTTGGTTTCAATGAACTTCATTAGTACACACAAGTCTATCAGATGTATAAAGAGAATGTGATGGAGTTCATTTAGGTCCCTTTTATAGTTGTTGTAATTTTTACCTATTATACAATAAAAGGGGAAAGTTTTAAATCTGATAATATCTGACAAAAAATAGGTTCTTTAAAAACAATTAGAATCAAAAGTTTTTTTTTTTTTTTTAAATGAATTATTTTAAACTAGGGCAAAAAAAAAAAAAAAAAAAAAAAAAAATGCTAATCAAATTGCTAGATACTTCAAAAGACACCAATCTACTTTATTTCAGGTTTCAAATTGGAGAACACTGAAAAATGTTTTGCAATAGATATTAAGATCAATAAATTATGGCAATTTTTTTTAATACCACAAATTTCTACAAAGTGAATAAGGGTTAATTCTCAACAAGACTTTATAAGCACTATTTTCTTAGTTCTTACAATTCATCTTGAAATATTTTTTATAAATCATTATGAATGAGCAAAGTATTTTCAGGAGTTCGAACTGAAATATAGGAGAGAAATAATCATTAGAAAATGTAATAAGTTTTCTTACCAAGAAAGATGTACTTGGAAAGGAATATTGTTGTAGAGATAAGGAAAGGCAATTCGATATTCTGTACGAACAGGCTGCCTAATAATAATTTTGTTAATGTCATTGAATTCATTCCAGTCTTCATCTCTGAAAAAGAAAAAAATGAAAACACTCAACATGCAATTCAAGATAAAAATTTCAAAGAGTTTTTGTTTTGTTAAAGTGATCCATGGTTGCCAAAATATTTTATTAACCTACAATATAGAAGAGATAAATGCTAATTCATACAGGGTATTTTTAGATGATACTTAAAAAAAAAAAAAAAAATATATATATATATATATATATATATATATATATATATTTTTTTTTTGTCAGTATCAGCTAACAAATATTTCAGGTGGGAGGATAGATTATGAAAAAAAAAAAAAAAATTAATTATCAATAACAGACTATAATTCGTTTAAAATGTTTAAAAGCAATACTATAAAGTTTCAACACTTAAGAATATTTTTACCGATATCAGGTAACATTATCCAACATATTTTTGATCAATGAACACAAAACACCAGTTGTTTTCAATGAGATACTAAAAGAAATTATATAAATTTACTAACCAAATGTTTTTAGATTTATTACAATAACATAATTGCTTGTTGTACTGCTATTTATATAAACATATTCAAAAAATTTAAATATTTTTTCTACACCTTTGTTTAAAGAGTATTAATATCAGTTGTATTGGTCAATAGGCCTAAGATACAATGACCTCAGTGTTATTTTACAAAGTTTGATATGGTGTTATTTTTTTCTTACATGATAATTGTAAATCTAAGTCTATATGCATTTTAATATTCATTCAAAAGGCTTGAAAGAATTTATACAAAGTACTGTCATCTGCAAAAGTTACCTGAACATAAGTTTATGAAAGATTGCATGCTTTCCTAACAAGCAGATTCAAATGTCAAATGAAATTAGTAAAATTAGTAAAAAAAAAAAAAAAAAAAAAAAAATGAAAAGAAACAATTTTATATTTCATTTGTATAATACTTCAAATTGTAGATACATTTAAAATAATTATATTTTTCAATTTATTTTAAATCTTGTAACTAAAAATTTTATTTGCAAAGTTATTTGCAAGAAAGAAATTGGACAGATATGTCAAAGATATTCAATAAAAGGACAAAATTCCTCAAAGAGAAAATAAAAAAACAGCAGCAAATAATTATAAAAGGGAACATGGGATCTGACAAAGATAATATCTATATATGAAATAAAGCAGACTTACTGCAACTCTTTGTCTTTGACTAGTGGTTCAAATTTTGGGCCCCCTGGAATGGCCAAATTGAGTGCTTTGGCAGTAAAGAAAGACTTCAAGTCAAACAAGTAGTAGTAGTTTTCATCCACAAGGTCAGTGAGTAATTGGTTAGCAAGTCGATATAGAACAGACATGATAGGTAATGACAAATTCCAGTGGCGATAAGTAGAGCCATTTAAGTACCTGTAAAGAAACAAAATTCACTTTCAATAACACAAGTCAATAACAACCTAAATACCAATATATATCAAGAGAATAAAAACCAAAATACAGACAGGTCTACAAAAATGGGTAAAACTTACTTTGTTTCTGCTAGTGGCTTATGCTCATAGAACCAATTGATGACTGCTTTGTCTTCTTCCAGGTCCAATTCTAATTGAATGGCTTCCAAGGGCTCAACATCAAGTACATTGTCAGCATAGTCCAAAGGAGGCTCTTCATCATCAAATGGCGGAAAGCGCATACGTTTGAAATGACGACGATCACGTTTCTCACGTCTCATCATGATCCACATAGAACTGAGAAAAAAAAAATTATATATATATATATATATATTTATTTGCATCAACAATTAATATTTGAAACCATCATTGCATAAATAGTATGATTCTTTTGTAAAAGTATGTTTTATCTAAAAAAAAAACTTTTAACTATATTAATTATAGCCTACTAACAAACTCGGAAAGTGTTACATATATGATGATAAAATAAATTAAACACTTCACAAATAATACAAATGTCAGCTATGGAGATAGTTACAACTACCATAACAACAGATTAATCTCACACCTAAAATATGGAAACACTTGTGTTGTAGGTGTTATTGTGATTGGGTTGGTTTGAGCATTTCTTTTGTTTACTATTTATATTCTATTACCATTGTTGATGTTACAGGAAAACAAATTCAAAGAGCAAACTAAAGACAACTTACTAAATTCAAAGAATCTACAATATATTAGCAATGATGAATCCAATATTGATGACAAGGATTTAGGTATATACTAAAACAATGAAGGAATAGAAGTTGAGACTACAATAACAAACAAAACTTATGGAATTAATCTTCTAACAGATGACAGAAAAAAAAAAAAAAAAAACTATACATCAGACACAATAGTGAACTACATATACAATGTGTTCAAACATGACTTAGAAAAGTGTTTAATATTTGAAGCATAGTTCAAAGGTCATGCAGACTTTTCTTTTTGTTAAAGGAAAGAAAAGACTAAAATGAAAAGCAAAAGGTCAGGCTGCTATTAAGAAAATTTGAGCACAATTTTTGTAATTCTCTCTCCAAAACCAAGATTTCTATATGCCCAACACCATAACAAGAATTTTTGGTGCAGCTTGTAAAGAGTTCAAGCAGTAATTGTCACCAAAAGCCTGCAAGTCTTCAACAGTATAAGCAAAATACATTTCTTCCCAATAATTATGTGGTCTGGTATAATTATATCTAATAATACTTGCTAATGAGTGGTTTCCCAGAAGATTCAAAACAATTTTCAAATAGTAAAAAAAGTTCTTCCAGAACAGAATTAAAAATGCACAAGTTTATGGCATAGCTTCCTTTCGTAATGGACAATAACTGAAAACAATGTTCTAAATATTTTAGGTGCTGGCAGTCTTGAAGACTAGAATTCTTATGTTCATTCAATTTGCAATTCAATAAAAATCATTTTACCTGAACCCATCTACAATGATATGGCTTTATTATCCAACAAAGAAATATAATAATTTAGTGATTTCTTCTCAAATCCTTTGAGAAGATATGAGCCTATGTGTCATCCTTTTGCAATAACTAAATCCTCAAGTGTAATTACACCTTACTTACATTGAATACATGAATTTAGATTTTGTGCTCTTCTGGAAAAAAAAACTTTCATGTTTCAGAACGAAGGATATTTAAAGGCCATTCAAGAGATGACAACACTCAAACTATAGTCTTAGTGTTCAAAATTATTATACTTATCAGTTTGTATGAAAAAAGTTTTATAGACCTCTTATTAAACAAAAAACATCATTGGTTAATTGAGCACAAAAAATCGTCTAAATAGATAAGAAATAAACTAACAAATTACTTATAGACTATATTGGAAAAGGAAATCACTAGTAGTTCAGAAGAAAGATATAGCTGAACAACTCTTGAAAATGATTCTTAAAAAAGAAACTCAAAGTAAATTAAAAAAAACAAAAAACTGCAAAGCTTCATTAGAGGATTAGAAGTGTTTAATAAGAAAATTTTCAAACCTTCAAGAGTACAATGGCTAACTGGAAATATTAAGAATCAATTTAGGCAAGTGACTTCTTCAAAGTTGAATCATTTATTTACAATGGGTACATCAAACTAAGAAATATAGACACTATAACAATTAATTTTTAAAGCCTATCAATTCTTTATGAATTATTCAAGGTCAAAACATTTTGGATTGTAATTTTTTTTTTTTTTTGCGAGCAAATTTTGTATGAACAATTTTTGAGAATAAGAATTCCAAATACAAATCTAGCTGGTGGCAGGAGATAGATGCATACTTTTCTCAAGGGTATTTACACACAAGACAACGAAACAATTCAACATTGCAGCCACCATTTGAAATTTTCATTGAATATGTACGTAAAATAATTTAATACCACACATTAAGGCCAAAAGATTCCCCAGCTGAATTGGGGGGGGGGGTTTAATAGATAATACTAACAATAGACAATCCCAGCATCTAAAATATGGTATTGCCATGAATAGCCTTGTGGTCGAGTTCAATTAGCATATTTGTAATACTTGGGGAGGGGGGATATCTACCACTAAAGAAATTCAAAACTACTTAAGATTCAAAGTATTATACAACACATTCAAAAATGAGGAATCTAGGATACAACATTGCAAAAGACATTAATTCTGTATAAAATACAGAATTGCTCATAGTAAACAAAGGTTCAGTGAGCATTTACCATAATTTAGTTTATAACCAATTTATGGTTTGACATGAATTTTTACAACGAAACAATGTGTTAGTGTATGTTACAAGAAAATAAATGTCAAGAATAAAGAAATTCCACAAACAAATTGGTAACAAAAAATTTATTATGCCACACTAGTTATTTAACCATACAAATATTTTTTAATTAATACAATCACTAACAAGAACATTAAAATTAACAAAATTATTTTTATATTGAAATTAAAAGCAAATAAATGAAAGTGAAACATTCTGTAAGGGACATTTATTTAAAAGAATTAAATAACTATGTATTAATAAAAGAAAAAAATGTCAACAAAATGCCATGGGCATGACTGTCATAATACTTACCCCCATTGTGCAATGTAAATAGGTTCTACAACCCAAGGGATTTCATTGACAAAAGTGATAGCACCTGTGATATGGTATAAAACCTTTACATCACGGATCTGTTCCCAAGGCATTGGCATATTTTCCAGAAGTTTCATGACAGCATGTGGCATATATTTCAAGGCTCTATTGAAACAAATAAATTCATTAGTATATATGATTAAGGTACATATATATAAACAATTAGGAACTAAATATTTTTAAGAATCAAAAGATAAGACATATTTTCATGAAAATATTTGTTAAAAATAGACAGACTTTAATGACTCAATTTTTTTTTTTCAATTATTCTCTACACAAGTCATTTTTTAATTAATAAAAAAAAAAAAAGAAAAGTGAAAATGAACATGAGAAATAAGCATTCAAATTTTAAAATAATTTGTAATTTGTTTCTAAATGCACAATAATTCTTGAAAACAATGTTTAATGAGATTCAAAAATAAGAATAAACCAACTTTCTTTTTTCAAATAAACAAAATTAAATCATACACACTACAAAACAGAGAGGAGAAATAATAATTTAAACTAAAATACAATGATTGCATATCTAGGAGTAAGATAACCTGAGTGATAGACATGGACAGACAATAAGACCTGGTGCCTATAGCAATGACCAAGAGAATCAGGCAAATTTTTAATGATCACTATAAATTACAACTATAAATTGTGTCATACAGTGAGTCACACAATTATATATTTATAATATATTTAGTATGGATATCCTGTACTAAAATACACCATAAAACACATTTTGTCCTCCCCACAAATTGTACACCTGAAAAGTTGTTAAATGGATTAGCCAAAATGTGATAGCAACAAGAAGAATCAAATTGATAGTCTGAAGAATTCCTGGGATAATAATGGTGAATCTCAAAATTACAAAAGGCTAATTTATAAAATACTTAGCAAATCTGTCAATTTTAAATGCAAATGATATAATCAGATAAATTTTTGAAAAACTGTTTATGCAACCATGCAACCTCTCATTAGCAACACAGTTTATGTGATAATGTAATTTTACATCACAAAAACAGTTTGAGAATTAAATTACATAACTTACCCCAAATAGACTCTTTTGTCATGTCGGAATTTTCTATTAGTCATGTCCCCATGATCGCGGATGATTTTACGAACATGTTCAGGGGGCATTTCTTCTTTTTGTGCATCGACAAAGCCAAATTTACGTTTATCTGCATACCTTTTGGATTGCAATTGCTGCCATTTACGAGCTGAAATGAGAATGTGATTTTTGTAATGTTTTCTCAGTTATGAAAAATTACCAACACACTAATAATTTTTATTACAGTTCATGACAGGTTAACTTTTCTGCTCATAAATATGCCCTCTTATAAATACACTTAAATTTCTTCAAAAATGTTTTTTAATGCTTAAAATATTCATACTCTTACAATTGTTAACAAAAACAAGTTAATGTTCATATTTTTACTTAGAAGTATTATTCTTAAGAATTATCAATTCAAGTTTAATCAACAATTTTACATTAATTGAATGACAATTCTTTAGGTAACAACCTTTTATCATATGTCAAGGGTAACCAAACTTTTTCACAGAGGGTCAAATTAACAGAGAGAATGATGAGCACAGGCTAGATAACCATTTTGTTCAATACAATACACTGAATGCACAAAAAAATAAAGACAACATAGTTATTTACTAAAAAGTTATCTAAGAAGGCAACAATAGCAATAAAATAGTTATATCACACAAATGCACACATATCCGAATCTCACAAACTAAGCAGCACAAAAGATTAGTGGGATTTGTGAAACTGGCATTTACCTTTTAAGATATAATTAATATTTGTTTTGGTATTGCTGCATCCACCCAAGAGAAATGCTTTCTAATGTTCATCAGTCAACCTTGTTACATGTCCTGACTTTACATACTTTAGATTTTATAAATTCAGGCAAAATATGACAATTCGCTGAAGTCAGTCCTTTTTATGTATGGCACTCTTCAAATCGGTTTAAACACAGCAATAAAACATAAAACATAATTGCTGCAGCAGACTCATAATCACTTTTTTTTGTAGAAACTTCATTGCAAGTACTTACACAAAAAGCACTCGGATATCAAAAGTTGACGAATTTTTTATTTCACTGATTTTCCTAAAACATTACTGTCGGATGCAAAAATCAGATTAGCTAAATTTTGGCATTTTACTTACATTTTAATTTTTTTCTACATAGTAATTCTAACTACAATCTATTGATAATTCCATATAAATAATTATATTTTAGCTCATTTGTGGCACAGTGAAGTGGCAGGCTGGATGAACTGACATTGGGGTCGGATTCAGCCCAGGGCCATAGTTTGGTAACCCCTGCTATATGCATTGTGATTTGTGGGGAAAGGGAGATGCATGATAAAAAGCATTAGAGTAATATAAATTGATATGTTGTTTCTGGCCAAGATTTATTTAAGAGGATTGCACAATCACAGTACCACTGGTTTTGTGAAAAGCAAATAAAAGTAAATAAAGTGAGCAATTTCTTTCTCTGGCCTGTTTAAATCACAAACAATTTTTCACAAGATGTGAAGGCCAGAGTACTGCCATTGATAGTAGTAGCTCAACTACAGAAAGGTAAGGTCTGAACATTAGCAGATTTTAAGGAACTAAACAGCCTGTCATCATATAATACTGGGCATGATTCAATGATTATGTGTGTGTAGAGACACTGGCAACAAAATGATAAGAACACCCAAGGTTGTGAAACTGAAATCCTACTTGCAGCTATGATGATGATAACCAGTAAACTAAAAAGAAGATAAATTGATCAGGCTTTGGTCTGGGTTGAACTCTGCACCAAAGATTATGTTGACAGTTTTGGGACAATATTAGAGAAAGTGAAGAAATTAAGAGGAACTGTTAGTTCATATATTGATAAGGTCCTAATGGACAAGACAATGGTAACAGCAAAGGAAGCTGTAGGTCACCTTTAAAGGTTTGGGTTAACTGCAAAGCCTCCAGAATATTTGTAAGTGGGTGTCACATAATGAAAGACAGGGTGATCTTTTCTTTTTTTTTGGTACATTTAAACTATATCTCGATAAATACATGTAAAATTAGTCATTTAAATTTTGAAACTGAAAGTTAAACCTAATTTTTTCCTTTTGTTCTTGCTGCTGAAACAAAAATAACACTCCTCTGTTCATGTTATGAAATTATCTTTTCCAAATGTCTTCTTGAGGTTCACAAAAAAAATATAGATGAAACTAACCAAAATGAAAGCTATTTGAAAATTTTATGGCAATATCTAAATATGCAAAATGAGTAGAGATGTAACAATTTAGCAGTTTTATACTTACAATTGATTAAAGAAAAAATAAAATCCTACATCATTGATACTTTTGAGCTACTTCAGTACACATTTTCTAGGTTAAATCTATTGTCATGGATGAATCAGCATCTATCTGTACAAGATGCGATGGATAAATTGTCATAAATTACACAAAAATGAAAATAACACTGACATCTAATTTTAACATATATATTTACCAAAATTACAAAAATATCTTGAAATACTAAAGAGGAAATTTATTCAATAAAATCACCATTGGCTTCAACCATAGCCTTCAGAATCTCCTGCAACTCTTCTGGATGGTCTCCTTATTTAAGTTGGTGAATACTGCCATAATCCTTGCCTTCATTTGATCTTTGGTATTACAATAAATTTTGCTCAACTGCGCACCACACATAACAATCAAGGGGGTTGCAATCTGGGGAGTTAGGTGGCCAGATGTAAGGGGTGATGTGGTTGCATAAATTGTCTGACAGCCATGACTGGATTCTGCTTGTGTGGCATGGTACAAAGTCCTGTTGCTAGACATAGGGTCTTCCAGCAGCCACCCATTTGGCCCAGGACAACACTACCTCCTCAAAGTACTTGATGTAGGTTTCCATGTTGAGTCTGGGGCCCTGTTGCAAGATGAATGGAAGCATAATATTGCCATCACTAGTGATCACTCCAAACACCAGGGTGACTGGACATATAATCCAACTGCATTGTCCTCAGATGGACACCCAAACACTGAAATATTCGTATTGGCACTTCTGGCATGAATGCCAAGCAGTACAGCATGCCGTTTCCAAATTTCTGGCAAAGTGAAATGCATCATGGCAATCTTTTTTCTCACAGATAGTGCCCATACTGTGCAGTTGACAAACAAACAAACAATTGGACAAATTAAAAATATAAAACGACAATTTATCCATCGCACTATGTATCTGTAACCAGTATCAAAAAAAATAAAAAAATAAAAATAACCTACCTTTTTCTTGCAATTTCTCTTCAGACATATAATCTGGAGGTTTGGGCTGCAGAGGCTGAGGTATTGGTTGAGGAACTGGAGGTAATTGTGGTGGTGGTGGTGGTTGGGGTTGAATTTGAGGGGCTAGCTGCATGGGCATTGGTTGTTGCCCAGCAATTAGAACAGGCTGACCAGTAATTAACACCGGTTGCCCAGTGGGCGTGAACATATAAGGAAATGCCATCTCTTCAGAAACAGCTACACTTTACTTCTACCTGGAAAACAAAGATACATCAGATTAAAGGAAAGAATTGAAACTGGAAAGAGGCAACAATATCAAGTGAGAAAGACTAGTTGTTTGTGACATGAACTGAACCAAAAAGCATAAGTATGAGTAAGCCTGAGAAATAAAACTTCAGTTAATCTGGAAGATTTTACAAAAAAAAAAAAAAAAAAAAAAAAATTTTTAAATCTCAAGCAAACACTGTGGCCTATGGAGAACCATTTTTGCAACCAATCCTTTCTTCAAATTTTTTAAATGTTAAATTTTTCTTTCACCCCTTCCATACTTTTGCAGTAGCAGTATTGAGATAAACCTACACACCAAGTGCAAACATACAATGTTAAAGTCAGCAGTGTATTCTAGCTCTTCTCCAGAGACAGGCAGAAAACGTAATTCCCCCACCATCCTATATTTTTCATGAGCTACTTGGAGGTGGGTACAAATGTACTTTGTGACAAAGTCTGTCACTTCTTAATTTTATAAGAGGAAATAAATTTAACAACTCATTAAAGAAATCTAACTACCCAGCACCTAAACATTTTTAGCCCTCACAACCTGTGAATGAGATTTTTTTTTTTTTTTACTATATAAGGTCTGGGGGTAGAAGGTTGCATCATATATTGTTTTTTTTTTTTGTTTTCTTTTTAAATTAAATTTAAAAAAAAAAAAAAATATACACACACCTCTTTCCAGTCAAATTAGTTTTGAAATAGATCAAAATATTTTGATTATTGGAAATATTAAATTAAATCTTAACTTGAAATTAAAACTAAAATAAAAGCTTCAAGAAATATTTTTCATTTTTAAAAATTCATTTTAAACCTTGGGTTTTGCAAATCTGTGGAGGTACCTCCACTAATTTGCAATACCTAGGGTTTAATAATGAATTAAAAAAAAAAAGAAGCTTTTTTTTTCTTTGAAAACTAAATGATAAATTTACTATTTCTAGTAAGCAAAACACTCGGGTGTATTTCAAACAAATTATATTAATTGGAATAGATTTTTTTTTCTAAAATAGCTGATTAGCACCACTTTTTTTGTTGTCTTTCATTGCAATGTAATTGTATTCAAAAATCTTTCAAAAATAAAATATACTCTTCTGAAACTTTATTTGAGGTATATTAGTTGATTTAAAGTATAATTAATATGATTTGAAAAAATGTTTGCTTTAAGTTTAAAACAACACAAATGTATTTTTAAAACAAAATAATAGCTGTGTTTTTTAACCGACATTGCCACATTTTATGTAACTGACGAGACGAAAACAGGCATAATAATTTGTTCTGCGGAGAATTTATCTGTAAAAATAATTTAAGAAAATGACCTGAGCACTTTTTTTTCTTAAATAATTTTCTATTTTACGATTTGGAGCAGATTTTTGCTAAATTAGTAGTTTTTGAAAAAAAAAAAAATAAATAAAAAAAAAAAAAAAATAAAAGATTTACATTCTACAACTAATAAAAATAATTTTGGGATGAAAATTTAATTTCTCAAAATTTCAAGAAATTAAGTGGTGGTGGATAAAAAAAAAAAAAAAAAATAGTTTAATTAAATCTGACAGTTATTTGATTTTTGTGGGAATTTCCAACTCAATGAAAAGAAAAAAAAAAAAAAAAAAAGGCACTAAAATGCTAATTGTAAATTTAAATATTATGGTGACTGCTAACATCAAAAGAAAAGAATCTTAGCCAAAATTTCGAACATGTTAAAAAGGATTAAAAACTTTAATAAAATAATAATATATTTGCTCTTAAATCTTAATAATAATAAACATTTTCATGATAAAACTGTTTTAAAGTTTGGGGTCTTCTTTTTTTTATCATGTTATTCTGTTTTGTTTTTCAGTGAAAAAGTGGAGGTACTTTTAACTTTTAAATGTGTTTAAATGTCCTAGGAGAATTTTTATTTAACTGAAAATTTAAGATCCGACAATTACATTATTTTTGCAAGAATTTCCAAATTAATGGGTTTTTCACCGCAAAAAGACGTTCAATATACTAAAATCATTTGGTCCTTTCTAATAACGCAAAAATTATGACGATAAACTTTGTTTTTTACTAAGTTTCGACCAATTTTTCATCATGTATGATAATTTTTTTTTAGCGAATCACTGAAGTTACGTACATTAATGAAAAACAACATTGAAGTCATCAATTATTACAATGTTGAGCAATTCCAATTTCAATCAACTTGAAAAATAAACAAATTTTTCGTTTATTAAAAAAGTTTTATGGAAGTATAGTGGAATGGTTCTAAAAAGTAAGACGGTTCATATTGTTGCAAAAGACAAAAGTAAAAATATAACTAGTTCTGTTAGCATAAAAATCGTGATTTCGAATTTAAATTTTTTTTAATAACATTGTTAAAGAATTAAAGGTACACTTTGTTGCCATATTTACGTAAACGGACACAAAATCAGAGTACAGTTTTAAATTTAATTTACATCATATTGAATAACAGATCAACTGAATTTTTTTCGAAAAAAAATTCAACTAAACAAGAAAATGTGCTTGAAAGCTTGTTTATTTCAGTTAAACAAAAATCTAGATATATGTAGCGATCAAAACAAGCACTGTATGTACAAAAAGATCATGATTGTTAATGTTGTAGCAACATGAATTCTTTTACATGTAGTGGTTAAAAAACAGATGCTAGTCTTGATCTATTTTAGGCTTTCACACTGATAATTTTTGGATCTTGCGAGATAGACAGCACCATATAAACACCACGCCATCCATATTTTTTTTTTTTTTTTTTACTTCCGTGATTAATCTTCACATCGAAGAACGTCTTTACGTAGTCTTTCAATTGAAACAAAACACGTAAGAAAATAAGTATTTTTATGAATACTTTTTATTTAGAAGCTCTGTAGAAAGACCGCACTTGTTTCGGGGGTTCAAAATTAGTTTATTTGTACTCTAAATGTTTAGGCATTAATTTTCTTTTTACTATTTACTTTTTTACTCAGTCTCCTCTTGCTTCGAAGAAATCTGACCTTCAGCAGAGTTAGGGTGTTACTGTTAAATTTAATTAGTAAAAATTAGAGACAGGTGTACTGTAATAATAATAGTATAAAAAAAAATTAAACAGTTCTTCGCATTTGCTGAACAGAACTCCAACGATCTATCCTTTGAGAATCCAAACATTTATTTTCAATGGTACAGTAATAATAGCACAGGTAAAAATGGCACAAGTGGGGAAAAAAATGGCACAAAGCGAAAATATCAGAATGGATCAGGTGTTAAGTGGACTTGATCACAACATAAGATTTTAGTTTAATTTTTTTGCTTTTAAGTGTAGATATAATTTTATTTGTAATTTACAAAATAGATAACGCGTACATTTCATTTTTTTCCCTGCTTTGTGCCATTTTTTCCTATTTTCCCCACTTGTGCCATTTTTACCTAAATTCAGTTTCAATATTTCTACGTACAAAATATTAGTTATTAGATTCGCCTGTGTTTAAGTTCGCTAAATTTTCCAATCAAATGATAACAACCGCAACACTAGTTTTAATTTTATCACTAATAAGCACGTGAACGATTCAACGATCGAAGTAAACATTTCTTGAATAAAATGTCGCAGATAAGTCTCCCCCAATTTTTGTTAGCACAACTCCATTTCAATTTGTGGTATGTAAAGTAGTTCATAAATGTAACTACATTTTCATGTAAAAGTAATACAAAAGCCAAATAATTGCAACATACTTTATAAACGATCATAGCTTTGTATAAAAATTCTGCTTGATAAAAATGTGAATAGATCCTCAACAAATAAAAAAATATTTTGTTTGCTCTATTCCACGTTGTTTAAAAAGTTAAATTATGCTTTCGAACTTTTAATATTCTTCCTTTTTACAGTATCGTTCATGAAACTTGCACAAGATATCAATAATTTCGTTAAAACAAAAACAATATATAACTTACCAAAGACAAGTGGAGAAGAAAAGTGAATTCAATATAAGAACAATGGATAATTTTCCATGAAATATAGCTTTAAAAAAAAAACAAGTATGGCGGCAAAACGTACAACATGCGTACACCTACCGACTACTTCCGGTTATAAACCAAGAACGATAATCTCGATTTATGTTCGAATTATTGTATCACGATAAGTACATAGAAATATTTAATTTATAAAATTAGTACCAAAAATAAATAAATTTTTTTAATAAACTTGGCGACAGAATTCGTATTTAAATAAAAATTCATATTATCAACAAATTTATTAAATAGTTATGAATTAATTGTCAACAATTCATTAAATATTTATTTAATTTTATTTTTTTTAACTGTAAAAATCGTTGTGACAAAGTCACCAATCAAAACTTTCTTAACTGGTGACATTTTTTATCATCTTTCTTATTCTTGCTCAAAGAAACGTATGGCATTATTTTAAGCATCTAAAAATTGAAGATTAGTTTTCCATAAAATGAAAATTTGCCGTTTAAACAACTTTCACTTTCCCCTCACATTTTGCCTGTTTACTTCAGTGTTACCTGTTTTTGTTTTGTTTTTGATACAAAAAAAAAAACACATGGAATTCATGTAGTTGAATAATGCATAGAAATTCTATGCATTATTCAACTACATGAATTCCATGTGATTTTTTTCTGAACAAGTATTTTCCTTAACTAAAAAATAAAAAAGGAGAGAAAATCTGAAAAATAAATTTTAATTAAAATAAGTTGACATCACATTATCGTGAAATACATTACTACACTATTCCATACATTTTATTTTAGACTCTTTTACTGATTTCTTACTCGAAAAATTGAATAATAATTCTTTTAAAGGGACAGCAGCATAGTTTGAGGGGTGGTTCGCCTCAGGTGACACTTTCGTGGTGAGAGCTTGTGTGGGACTATTTTGTGAACCTCATCACCACCCTATGTATGGGATTACCTCCCTTGATGTATTATTAATACATTGGTTATTAGATAGGGGTTTTTCATGAATCCTGACTTAACTTATGTATCTATGCCTAGCAAACGCATGTATCCTCCTCTTCATTACATGGTGGCAGTGATAAGATTTTTGCCAAGAAGGAATTGAATACGGAAGACCCAACACTGAAACAACATATTAAAACACAATATCGTCACCCTGTGCTTCGGCCCCAGTGACCACGCTTAAGCGAGTCTGTATTTACAAGATAAATATTTTCTGTTTATTTTATCAGTGAAAAGTAATAACAACACTAATAATAATAAATAATAGCAAATAAATAGAAAAAAAATATATACACATATAAATAAACAATTGAATACATAAGTGTGAAGGATTGAATAAGCACTCCATAGCTAGACACTGTCTGCGCCCTGGGTAAGACGATAAACTACATCCAACAGCAAGGCCTCTGATCAGGAGGTTTTGAGGAACGTGAAACCACCTCTTAATTGTTGGTGTTACCAGGTCCACTCTGACCTGGGGTGGTAGCACCTGTTAGGGTCCCAGCTATGTGCAAATAGTTGACACAAAAACTGGGGTCAAAGCACTATGAAAGTGTAAAGATAGGTTTTAACCAGAAATACTTTGCAAAAAAAAAAAAAAATTATTACCAGCAATACATTTTTAGAAAAAAAAAAAGATATTACCAACTATAGTTTATTTTGAAAGAAAATATTACCAGCAATAAAAGATTTGTCGGCATTAAAAAGCCCATTGAGGTTGATATGCCGTAAAACAAAACAAACTAGACACTGTCTAGTAGACAGGAACAGCCCAACATTTGCATATGATTTTAAAATGTTCAAGCAGAAATGCGAGCTCTATTTCTCAAGTGGGAACTGAACAACAAGCGGACCACATTCTACTCTTCGCTGGTAACAAGGGACTATACAACTCTTGGGTGCTGACAGAATAAGAGAGGAATGGCCTGAACACTATCTTGCAAAATTGCAGATACACAACGAGCACAAACAAACTTCAGAGTCAAGCGAATGTTTACCTCCAGCAGTTTTGACATGAGACAAATAAGTCAATTGAAAATTTTCTCACTGGGCTAAAACACCAAGTGCAAATTTATGGAGGATGAGTTGAAGGAACGACTTATCGAACAGCTAATAAAAGGGACAACAATGAAAGAGATACAAAAGGAACTGCTAGCCAAGGATGAAACCCTGTTACGAAGGCAGAAATGGCTAACCTGAAAGACAGTGTCGTATCCTGTCGACATTCCCACATTTTTTTAAAAACAACTGGATAAAAAGCTTAACCAGCGTTGTTGTAAGACTGGTTCAGGATATAAAGATGCCTCAGAAGCAACAAAAATGTCTTCCGCGGTCCATGCCATGGGAGGATTATCATCTCTCAAGTGTGTCTCTGTCCCACTTTAACGGACACTGATGCAGTTTAATGTCATGCACGGGACAAACACTTGGTTACAGTTTAATGCCATACCCAGGACGCTAATGCAGTTTAATGCTATGCACAGTAATCGGCTTAGCTGCAGTTTAACGTCATGCTCAGGATGAACATTAGGTTGCGGTTTGTTATGCCCAAGACGTAGGTGCAGTTTAATGCCATACCTAGGACTCCGCTATTTGTGACCTTACTACCACACATAGAAATCATTAGAATTAGATCCCTTTGTTTTTTTATGATAATCTTTTGGATCCATTATAAACGCACTTAACCCGCTTAACTAGTAGAGGTAACAGCAGAATCGTTTAGACAGGAAACTCTGTCCATATTATTCGGAGGTACTTTTGGATTATGGTCATGGGTGATGGATAACCCCAACGGGTATAAATGCTTGAGTGAATAGACGTTGACATTTCCATCCCCTTTCTTAATCTCAACCGACCGAATGTTATTATTGTGCCGATCTATATCGCACACACGTACATACATACACTTATACAAATTACATACAATGACAAGCATTCATTGGTTAATAAATCACCACTACGTTATCATAGACAATTTACAAATCACAGCAATGCGACAATTTTGTAATCGCTCTATTTTTATGTAGTCAATTTTGTGCACTTTTGGGAGAAACGGATCCCAGAAGCTTTCTTAAGTCACCCCGAAGCTCGCTCGCTGATTGGTCGATGCCAACCAATCAGATCGTCTGCACGTGAAGAATAATTCTTCCCGTGCAGCGATCTGGAGCCTGTCACGTGATTACTTTATCTATAAATAGCAAACACAAGCCTGTCGCTTTCCCTTCTCTCTCTCTTCTTCTTGCGAAAATGTGACCTTTAAGAATTATCGTCTCGACCATGGACGGTCAGACATTAAATAATTATTCACGCATTCACGTACGTACGAACTTTTACGAACTTCTCTAACCTTCTCACTCACACCACCACTCACATGCTGAACATTCTTTATACACTCAAATGATCTTTCTTTACACAGCAAATCTGCTGAGAACAATTATTACAAGAAACTCTCATAAACTTTCTTTCAGTGAACTTGGAATACAAAAATAATAGTTAAATAGAGACAACTCTTGTTTTATTCAACCTTTTCTTAAATGCATGCTTTCTTTCACATCGTTGTACATATTTTATGTGTAATTATGTCTTTTGCTTATCCTTTTTCACGTCAGTTTTGTTTCATAATCTAAAGTTAAATTAATGTGGTGAAGTCCTCCATATTATCATCACCCGTAATCAGCCTTTGAACTCTACCCTAAGACCAATAAGGTCTGGATTTCGTAGGATCTTTGATGGGTACCACATCATCAATCGTAATCATATTTTCAAAATTCCTATCATATAAATCCTTGCATTGCGCCCTCAAATCCAAGAGATATTCCTGATACTATAAATCCTTAAACCCATTCAACAAATAATCTTTAGTTTCAAAAGCCTTGACAATATCAGTTCTAGCTGGTGAGTCCGAGTTTACAGCCCTTTATTTGCTTACATTGAGCAGCAAACTTTCATTTACATAAGAACAAATGAAGGAGTTTGGAGTAATTATCTGTAGATCAGACTCAGAGCAACAACGGTAAGTAAGGGGTCTTGAATTTACTGCTCTTTGTCTGTCTGTAAGTAATTCTAAATACTCAACCGGAGATCTACCAATCGTATTATATAGACATAACTTGACAGTTTTAATCATACGATCTCACACGCTGCTCATCCAAGCAGAGTACAAGGAAATTGTAAGGTGTTTGATGTTAAATACACCAAATCTGTCCACGAACTCATTGAAAGTCAGGAATTCATTCATAAAATTGCAACCCGCAAAGAATGGCCGAGAATTCTCACTATAAATGTGGGCAAAAATACCGTAGATGTTAGTAAATCCAATGAAAGCGTGATTCGAAGGTACGGAACTGATTCTTTCCTCTATCCAAGGTAATTTTACATAATCAGAATTACCCTTAAATTCTATAGATCCCTCGAAGTCCCTAATCTCCCTGTCATAATCACTCACACCATCTTCACTGGGCAAACCCAACGTTTCCATACTGAACATTTTATCTAATTTACATTCCACGTAACTTTCCTCAAATATATCGAAAAATGGATCAACGTGTCACTTTCTAGGTTCTAAAACAAAGTTAACATAAGACATGGGGCATGAAGAGTGTTTGGAAACAGCAGCATAGAAATTGCTATTTGCATGTTTCTGCCTTTTTCCAGGAAGGATAGTCTGATTCGGATATAAGCAATTATTGACATTTCCAAATGGAACAATCCCATTAGGGAGTTTCCATGCGGAACCACCCATGCATTTTATCAGATAGATTTCATGAACTGTATCAAATCCAACCCCAACAAACCGTGTACCTAAATAGTATTAGCATTATTAGCAAAATTTCCAGCTAACTTAAAATTACATTTTTTAGGTTTTTAATAATCAAATGGAAACAATCAGCATCAAACCTGATATTAAAATTCGATTTCAGTTAAAACTCGTAGGGGAACAAGTATCATTGGGAAATCCTATATCAAATTTCACTTCCCTTAATCTTTTGAGCTGAGAACCCGCAAAAAGTCATTACTTCATAATCAGCAGGGGAAATGTAGTAGTCCTCACATTTTAGCTGCCTTAGAACGAATTTAGAGAAA